ACTAAAATTTTACAAAAAAATAAATTGGAAACATACAGCCAGGTCCCAGTTTTTCACCAACTTTAAAAATCACAAAGAAGAAAAACAAAAAAGTGGGAAAATAAAAAAGGAAAAAGAGAGGAAAGTATAAAGAAAAGAAAAAAAGCAAAGTAAAAACAAAAAGAAAAAAATGGCAAAAAGGACCATCTACCTGAAAACAAAATATTTTTCTTAAATAAATGTTCATGTCAGATACCTTTGTAAAATTTGTATAGAATGAAAAGGTTTCTTTTAGTGAGCAGATATTATCAACTCATCTTCATTAACATTACCTGAAATGATATATAGTCAGAAGTTTGTCCACATAAAGAAAACATTCATTCCTCCCAAGTGACAAAAAATGATTATCAGTATAAACAAGAGTTAAACATAAAAACCTGCACCCATCACAAGATATATTGCCATGATGAGAAAATTCTTAGATATGACCATCTCAATATAGTGCCATGGCAAGAGAATAAAATATGAATCCTGTTTTCAATATATTAGGTTCTTTATTTATGGATTCTCCTGGCACTAGGGATAGGTAGGTGACACTTGACTGTTACTTCTGTCTTCTCTCACTCAAGACTAATAGAGTAGATCTTCCCTTTGGCCAGTGAGAACTAGTGACTAGATTTTTTTACTCCAACTCTGACTTCCCATGATTCCCCATTTCAACAAACAGCTTGTGAGTAGAATACAGCCTGACTATATAAGCCCATGATCAGAATTCCATTCTTTCCAACACTTGATGACTAATTTTTTTTTTTTATTCTTATAATTGATTTTCTTTTCCATACTTCTAGACAGCAGGTAGTTACTGTAAAGCGATCACATTTTACTGGAGAGTTGTTAGTCACAAGATTATGTCCAGATCCACATTTTTGTGCCCTAATCAATCAAGCAAGCAAGGCCCTCTTAAGACAGAAATGTCCAGTACAAAACTCTTGGCTCCACATAAATCTTTTAATAAATTTCTAAGTTCCATAATGGAATTTATACATCTATTTGATTCTGCTCTAACTAGCTTTTACATCAGAGATTCTCAATCAGGGCAGGGAATACTCCCAGTGGGGAATTTCCGGTTTCAGGAGGTGGGGAGAATCTTTCCTTTTTTACAGAATTATGCTTATTGATTTACAATACTCTGGCATTCTATTGAACTTTTTTGTTCATTGAATTATGCTTCAGTTTATTTATTTAATAATAAGTTTTGAATTAGAATAATTTACTGAACAAGTGTTCAAGTTTAAAAATTCATCAACATTTTCTATTGCTATTAAAATTGTAAAACTCTATAAAAATAATGCATGTAAATATATATGTACCGATATGGAAAAGAATGAAGATGTTCAATAATACAGGAATTCCTCAATTAGTGCAGCTAATGGGTACATCAATAACTATAAAAAAGAAAAACTCATTTTCAATTACTGTGGTTAAATTGAAGAATGTTTTACTACACTAATCTAGTATTATGTATGGTCTTATCAAATTTTGGTATATAAAAATTTTAGCACACTAATCGAAAATGCATTAATCAAGAAATGCCTGTATATACATATTATTAGGAATGCACCTTTTTGAGTCAGAGAATCTTGGAAAGTGGGGATGTGACATTCTAACGTATGGTAAAAAGGGTACATTGGGAAAAATAGGTTGAGAACCATTGGTTTACACCATTAGTGTAGGCTTTTAAAAGAAGTAATTTTTTAACTATTAATAGTTCACCTTACTGTGCCTGCATGCATAAGCAATTGAGAAAGTATAATGAATTAAAACTACTTGAAGAATTTCAAATTATCACAAAATTTTCATCAAAGAAAATTGCATTTAAGTCAAAGTAACCATCTCCAAGAGAAAACACACTTAGGGATCAATTGAAATGCCCTACATTTTTTGTAGGGGGTGGGGTCAGTGTAAAAGCACATTTTAAATCTCTTCTCACATTTGAGATTGTCCCTAAAGTATTAATAACTCAGTTCCCCTTCCACTACTCTTTATATTTCTTGCTGATCTGATACCTGCAAACCTCTTAGGGTGAAATAGTTGAATAATCTTGTTCTCTCTAAATAAACACTATAAAATTATTTTAATAATCAGTGATACAGAACTGTCTATATAATTTTCCCCACTTCTCCCTTCAAAAATAAAATAAATTTAATTTAAAAAAAAAAAAATGAACGCAACAACATTTAGATGTTCGTATATGTGGACATCATATATATGATTTTATTATGGACCAGTTTATTCCACAGACAGACCTCACAATCCTAAATTCTCCAAGGGATTCCAGTCCTGAGACATTGTTTTGTTCAAAATTAAACATCCTTAAACGTGAAAGATTTAAAATAAACAACCCCTCCCCCAATGCTGAGATAATAAATGTTTTCTGTTTTAAAGGAAGCAAAAGTCATCTAACTCTTCTCAGTCTCATAATAGTATTTACTCAGGCTGGACGATGTTATTTTCAATTAATTTTTAGCTTATATTGTAGAAACTGTTAAAATTATGACTAACAGTTTTACATAAACGAAGAGATAATGTTTTTGTCATTCTGAAGTTTAACTAAAATATAAAATATACATTTTCTTTTTTTGGCTTTTTTTCAAGTGTTGCTTCACTTAGTTATTTTTACAACAGAAAATTTTTATTTTACATTAATTTTGTTTTAAATACAAATAAAAGTCTTTGTACAGGATGAGAAAAATAAGAATATAGAATCCGCAATGTAAATAAAACAAAACTCCAAACATTGTTACAAAATCCCTCTAAGCAGTAGAACCAGATCTATTAAGTTGTTACATATATTCAGTCATTATTCTTTTTCTGATCTTCTGTGAATGATTTCAAAGAATTTATTTTTCCATAGCATTTTTTTTGTTTGAGTAACTCTGATCATCTTGTGAAACTGTTGTCTAATGTTATTGAAATTTCATTTCAGATTAGACACCCCTTTGAGATAGAATGCCAAGTAGACAAGAATGTGTATATTCAGCCTCTTTGCTTTTAATCAAGATGCCAAAGATGCTTGAGATATTTATGCTATGTACAGAGATGACATTATTACTGATAGAATGGCATAGAAATGGTTTTCCTGTTCCAAGGCGGAGGCAGTTTGAACTCACAGACTCTCCACATTCTGGTCAACCTGTTAAGTTTGATGAGAACCAATTGCAGGTGCTGATTAAAGAACTGTACCAAACCCCCAATGGAATTGGCTCAGAAGATGGCAAGCCTTCATGTTACTGTCACTTGTCATCTTCACTCACTGGTTAAGCTCCAGAAACATAGCATATGTGTACGACATACACTGACCAAGAGATACAAACTCCAGCACTCCTCCATTGCCACTAGTTTACTTGCTCAATACCAGGCTACCCATGGATACAAAGAAAGAGATTGGTTGAGAAGTTCTGCCACACATATTATCCTGATTTAGCCCCTTCAGACTATCTCCATTTTGTGGTTGCTTTCTAACAATTTTGTTCAACAACAATGTGGGGCTTAAAACATGCCTTGATGAATTTTTCAAGTTAAAACCTAGTGATTTCTATCATGAAGGCATTGAACAGTTAGTGGATTGTTAGCAGGAAGTCATAAACAATGAAAGGGAATAAACTGTTAAATGATTCATCAGAACTATTAATAAATAAGTATGAGAATAAATGATAAAAAAAAAATGAATAGATTTATGTAACAACCTAATACTTATAGTTTTTTGCAGGTATCTACAGATGTGTGGGTTAAACTGATTTTGTATTTTAATAAGGTGACAAAATAAGGACAATAATTGGTAGTGAAATTGCTGTTAAATGTCAAAGAAATTATGCCAAATACCACAATTTATTTTTCTTTTAATCATTTCATCCCAAGCAAGGCAAAAAAGCCCCTAAGATGCAAGGGTTACTGAGTTTGAGAGAATATGAGAAAAAAAAAACATTAAGAAGAGAGAACAATAAAAGAACTCAAATTAAGATAACGGACATAGATCTTTAAAAATTTAAATTCAAAGCTGACAGGGAAGCAAGAAGCCAGTATAAAGTTCCACAAGTAAGAAGTACTGGAGAAAAAACTGTTACGGTTACATCTCACCATTTTAAATGCAAGATGATGAGACACCGCCACTGATTTAGTATTTTATTTTTAAAATCAATTCATCCCAAGCATGGTGATAATGCCACTAAGATGCAAGAGGCTACTGAGAATGAAAAGACTTTAGAAGGAAGCAAAAACCCAATCCTAAACAGGGAACAAGGGATGAACCTCTACTCCTGTTCAAGAGAGAAGTGTGAACCAGATGATAAGCAAATGCACTCACTCCTATTGAGCAGAAGAAGAGAGGAGAAAAAGCAAATAAGAAATAAATAATTAGTAAATAAAATTTCAGAGTTCAGACGGAGACGTCAGAAGTATAGAGCTGAAGTAGACTTTAGAAGAAAGCAAAACCCAATTTGAAATAAGAAATACAGGATAAATCTCTACTCCAATTCAAAAGCTCAGAGAGGTTTGTGAACCAGGTTTAAATTCATAAGGTCTTGCTACTAAAGCTCATCAGAACAATTACCATCAAAATTTTTATAGAAAAACCACAGGGAAATTACATTATGATTTCAAAGAAAATTATAATCTGTAAACATAACATTGAAAAGGTGAAGCATAAATTGGTCTTTGCTGATGTTATTTGGCTATCTGAAAAGATTCATTTTTTATGACTTATCAACACTTTGCAGGTTATTTAAAGCCAGAAAATATTTTAAGATTGTAAGAATTTTTTGTTTTTTTAGGGGATAATAATGGTTTAGTGATAAAAGTCTTACTTATTAACCCATAGCTGAGGGAAGAGAAAAGGTGGTTTCATGCCTTTTCCAAGGTTATTTGCATGTAAGTGAATATAACAAACCCAACAGGAATTGGAACTCAGCACTCCAATTAACAATACCAAGCCATTATCCATTACATCACCTGCACATCTAAGTTTACAACACCTAGTATTCTTAAGCAGTCACTCATCTAGGTACTAACCAGGCTTGATGTTACTTAACTTCTGTGATCATATCGGAACTGGTATTTCAGCATGAAGTGGCCAAAAGCACTTATCTGAGAAGACATAGCAGGAAAAGGATTTTTTTTTGGTTAAAACCAAAATTAACTTTTCTCAAGCAGCAGACAGGAAAAAAAAAAAAACACAAGTGTTCTGATGGGAGAGGTACCTGTTTCAATCATTCCCCAGCAAACAAAGGAAAAGTGCATATGAGAGAATTTCTGACCCCAAAGGCTTCCTTGTCATATCTCAATCTTCTTCTGCATCATGTACCTTCAGGACACAGACAATCATGGCTCGACACAATATCCTGTTTTTGCAGCTCTTAAAAAAATTGTATCTGTTTGTTACCTCTCCTAAACCCTATTCTGCCATCCATCTACACAAGCTCGCTAGATAAGTTATGCATTGTTTGCCTGCATCTCTTGCATTCAACCCATCCTATGTGTATCAAAATTTTTAATGAGCCATAGAAATTTCAACTAATTTCTGATGTTAAGCATATGTGTCCATTCTGTTTCAAGTTTCTCTAAAACTTTGTTATTGCTCACATGTTCGGTCTATGGTATTCTCAGTATCCTTCTGTATAATGACATCTCTGTTGCTCAAATGTCTCCAACTGTGATGAGTTTGTCGAGCATTTACTGTCATATAGGAGAAATGATCTTACATAACGGTTCAGTACTCTTTTTTTTTTCTTTTTTTTTTGTTTCTAACAAAATCTTCCTATTTCTTAATATTTTGCTTAGCTTTTGGAAGGCATTTTTTCAAAAGCTAAGCCAAGTAGGAATTTGGAATGGACAGTCATGGGGGCAAAACTTATTCTCAAGTGAACTAACACATGATTATCATTAATTATCAAAATGGTGAGGTCATCTTTGGAATTTGAAAGAAGTGAATCATTATCCATCTACATAGAAATGGGATGACATACTAAGCAATTTTGGATGTACAAACTAAAAAAAAAAAAAAAAAAAAAAAATTTCAGTTCCATCAGCAGATTGTCATATGTATTCAAAGAAAAATGGAAAGGTATTGCAACAGAGATTGCTCTAGGAATTAGGTATTCCTGGAGATTTCTGTTGCAGTACCTTTCCATTCTTTTTGCTGTTTATTGCTCAAAAATAAAACAAAATCTCATTAAGAGACATTTCTCCCCATCTAAATACAGTATAACCACTTTACTGTAATGCTGTGATCATAGCCAGATATAAAATACTAGCCACAATCATGGCCTTGGAACTCCTCCATAACAAAACATTCTGTAATTTGAAAGGATGATGGTGATGTAATTTTCAACAATTTTTCTGATTATAAATGTAAAATTTTCTTGTTCATGATATTCTTACCATTTGTCAGTAGAAACATATGTCCATTGCTTCATGTCTCTTTCTCCAAGAGGAGATCTTTCACTGCTATATACAAGATATTGCATAATACTTAGTAGTATTTATTTCTAACAATATTGTTCTGTGTCTTAATACTTTGCTTAGTTTCTAAAAGTCTTCTTGGAACGAGTAATCAGCAAGCAAAATTCAATTTATGGTCAATCTGTTACATTCACTTTCGCACAAATACCCGTGGTAGAGGATGAATCCCTCTCTTCTCGCCACCCCAATCTAAGAGTTAAATAGCAAGGCAGACTGAGTTTCCTCGCCATGGTTGTCAACTAGTCTAAAAGAATGACAACTCTGAATTCAAAAAGATTAAGTAGCCCTGACAAGGTGAATGATATATGATCATTGAAAAGATTAAGGAGTTCACAATTAACTGTGGTGTGGGGTTGTGGAGGTCAAGGTGGTGGTGGTTTTATGTAAAGCCAGATAAAAGAAAATTAACAATCAAGTATGCCAATTTATTCATTAATCATTTTCATGTTGATATGAAATTTTTGATCAGGTCACAAACCCAAGAATTGTGCAAATGAAAACTTCGAGAAAGCATTGTTTTGTTTTATTTTATTTAATGGATTATGACATTAGAAAATGTGTGTGTGTGTGTGTGTGTGTATACACACACACAGCACATCTACATTCAAACATGTTTCATTGAATAATATAAACATATTGTGTCTACTTATTTTTATACTGAATTTTTCCAGTTGTCTAATTAGTTTCTTGATGTTAAGATAAAATTCATCAAGGAAGGTGGCATAGATTTTGTTAACCCAAGTACTTTCAATCTTTTCTCATCGTCAGGTATAAATTACAAAGACAATTTTTTTTGCAAAACAAGCAACAACATATTAAAGTGTATATAACATCTAATGCCATTTTACATTTCTACAAATTTCTTGTCATCTCCCTTATATTGAAACACTCGATTTGCAAAAAATTCCAAAACTATAATGGATAAATTTTTAAATAATAACAGAGTACGTTCACATGTGTTTTTAAAAAATTGTCATCACAACAGAATGCAGATTTTATCACAGTTACAATAAGTTTGTCTTTGTAATTTAGCCAAGAAGATGATCTTGGAAAAGATCAAAAGTACTTGGGTTAACGAAAACTATGGCATCTTCCTTGATGAATTTCATCTTAACATCAAGAAATTGATTAGACAACTGTAAAGGATCAGACTAAAAATGAATAGACCCAATATGTCTATATTATTCAATGAAACATATGTGTGTGTGTGTATATATATATATATATATATATATGATTGTCATTTATACCAAGTAGCACAGACTAGTCTACTTAGCAATAGGAGAATGTGATAAGAGAAATTTCTATATATCAAAACAATGTTGGAGAAATGAATGACAAAATAGAAAAAAATTCCATCTCTATGTATACATAGAATTTTTTTTTTTTTTTTCCTCATTCAGTTTTCCCCATATTTGCCAATAAAGCTTATATTTTTAATGGAAACTTTTCAAAATTCAAATAACATCTAAAATGGCTGAACATAAATTCATCTTTGTTGATGCTGCCTGCGTATCTGAGTCAGAAAAAGTTTTGGGGGTTGAAACCAACAAAAATTTTCCCCTAGTCAGAATCATCAGACAGGTTATTAAAAAAAAAAAAAAAAACACCAACAGAGTTTATTTTTTTTTTTTTTTTGTGGAAGCATTGAACAGCCATAGTGGAAACATTTTGTGAGACGTTGATGTGGACTATACACATATCCAAAATAAATATTACATTCTCAAAAATGTTTTAGTCGGTGATCATTCACAAAGTGTTATCTTTGTTGATAAAACCCACAGGCATGAAATTTATTACTTAAATTTACATTGTTCTTTCTTCCTTGAAAACATATCAATCCCTATAAAAGTAATCACCAACTAAAAGACTAGTCAAAAAGCAAAAGAAAATAAGTTACATTATTCATCAGAAATTACACGTATAACTGTATGCTCATTAGTAAAAGAAAACAAAAATCTAAGCAACTAGATCAACTAGTATTCATTAAAAACAACTTTATTCATTTCCAGTCCCGAGATCACAGAGTAAGGTGGGTTGATGCCAAGCTTTATAAAGGATACCTAGAGAGGATCGAATTCGCTACACAGTTGTAAGGGTCAAGCTGATTGGCTTGACACCCATAACTGATGGCAAAGCACCTCCCAGAATAAGAATGAAATTGTGTGTGTGCATTTGAGAGAAATTTGTTTTGCAAATTTCCTCATTGAAGGAAGTGGGTACAGTCCAGAAATTGCGCTCACAAAATGCTCAACATATCATGCCACACTAACACAAATATTATAAACCAATACACACCCCACTTTCCCTGGTCATGTTTCTTATTGTCCAGCTATGTAAAAGGTGATTAAACCATTTCATGTAAGGTTTCACAATTGTTCAACTCAAACACGAAACATGCTTTCCCTGAAATCTGAACAGGGAATGAGAGTCACAAAAAAATATGGAAGGATGAACAAAAAGAAAAAGAAACTGAATGCCAAGAGTTTTCGTTAAAAGCAGAAAAATTTAAAATGAAATCACTCACACTACAGTTCAAAAGTTTGGAGCCACCCCCAGAATTTGCATGGGATGTACTTGATAGAAGAGTGAAATTTTTCCATTCAAAAAATGAAAAGGTCATTGAAAAAAGAATGGAATCAATTATCAAACATATACTTTGAGAAACATTTGCAACAAATGCCAAAAATTTGTGCTGCAGTAATCAAGGCTAAAGAAGGATATTTTGATGAGAGCAAAATTTAATCAAAAATTGTTTTTTTTTTTCTTTTTGTCATAATAAAATCCTGTCTCACTTTTTTTAACCATACATAATAATTTTCTCTTACTTAAAGAACAAAACAACTACTTTTGGGGCCAATTTAAAAATTAACAAGGGGTCTTCTCAAACTTTTGAACTGCAGGGTATATATTTTTTTTCATGCAGCCTAATATTTTTTTGGTAACAGGAAGCAAGGAATAAGTGTAAATCTCGAAAAAGACATCTTTCAGGCACTCTTGCAGTGGCACACTACGAAGCTTCATTAGTGATGTTTGTTCCTGATATCAGTGAGGGGGTGTTTTCAGGCCTCTGAAACTATCAGACTCCCCCTCTCTCAGGCAACCCAACCAGGAGCAATCACCTCTGTTTGCCTATTTGATGTCATCAAACTTTTCCCACCAACTCTAAAGAAACTCAAAGTGAACCAAATTTTAAAAAAACAATATGGCAGCTGACTGGAATAAAATCAATAAAAAAAAAAAAAAAAAAAAAAAAAAATTATAAAAGCACACAATGAAGAGGTTTTAATATTCTTGAGTTTTCATCTACAAATGAAAAGTTGGGAATTTATGTCCTAAAACAAATGCTACTCAGATGTTTTAATCATAACCTTGAGAAAGGTAGACTAAAACAAATATAGTAAAGAGATTTGCTGAGAGCCAAGTTTTGTCTGGCATTCTCTTGCTTTTTATCTAGACAAATTCAATAAAAGGCACTCAACAAATATTTGAATAATCTTACAAAATGCACAACTTATGAGACAAACATATTTATTAAGAGTGATTTAATATGAGAGACTTGTGACAATGTTGGAAGAAAAAAAACAAATTGACAAAGTTTAAAACAAAAGTAATAACTCATTAACTATTAAGAAAGAAAGCCAGTTCTTGAAAGGGTTGGGAGGGGGTGTTCAAAACTAATGTCCCTGGACTATTTGGCCTTTTGTCACCATAATATACACGGAGCATTAAAAGTCTTGAAACTTCAGGTATTGCAAACAATGGTTTATATATTATTAGAAAACATTTAGCCATGCATTAGCTACAAGAATTTTTTTTTAAATGCTTAAATAAAAAAAAAAAAAAAAAAAAAATGCAAATTGTCACATTACATTGCCAAAAATGGGCATAGGACTGCCAATTTAAAAAATAAAGAATCTGCTGACAAAAGAGTTGACAAATTTTTTATTTTTCTTTTCCCAAAATGTCTCTTGTACATTCAACTAACCTATCTCAATATTACTTAATATACTTCTTACCTTGACAGCCTTTTTCTTTGTTTTCATAAAGCAAAAATTCTGATTCCATATTTTGTGACCAAAGGATCATAGAAAGGTCAAAGTTAAAAATTCAGAGAAGTCGAAGAAAGGGAGAGCATCCAAGATGAAGTTTTTGTTTGTCTTTTTTGCATTTTTTAAGTATGAAAAAAATTTTTTTTATTTTAATATTAGCAATAAAAGTGATGAATCAAATAAAGAAACAGCAATCAATATTGAAAAAAAAAAAAAAAAAAAATGACTGAAACATTTGAAAAAAAAATAAAATAAGGGATGATGTCTTAAGGTAAGTAATGAGAATATCATACAAAAATGGAATGTATTTACAAGCGATTGTTATTTAGCCACTTAAACTGGGTACATTCCACCATCAACCCTAATCTCCAACAGAGAATGTGCATATTTCAGTTGGAGGCTGCATGAGAACAGGTGGGCTAAATGTTCACTGTTGGTGGGGCGGGGGTGGGGGGCAGGTTAAGTGCTGGCTCTACACATCATCAAGACAGGAGGGATGTACAAGAGAAATAACAACACACTTTTAACAGTTGCATATATCTGTCAACCAAAAAGGGAGAAGACAATTGAAAAACACAAACCATCCTCAATGGAAATTAATGGATTTCAGTTTACCTAATTTCCTGAAGCTCATTATTTTCTTAATTTTTTTTTTTTGCTTTTGTTTTTTGAGAGCTGTCAGTTTTTTGTTTTCCACCTAATTATAAATAAAAGGCAAAAGTTATTATATGTACATTTTACAGACAATACCAATGCTTGTTTTGTTAAGCATGGTTATTTTTATTTTTTTTATTTTTTTTTTTTATCTTTGTAAGAGAAACTAAAATGGCAGCTGTAAGTAGTAGGCACTCTAGAATACACAGACTTCAGCTGTTCTGACAAAGATCTTCCCCTACCCCCAAGGAAGAACTACAATTCCTGACACAAAGATATTTACTTCATTTGGGTGTCAAAGCAACAGTAAAAAGAGATTTTTTTTTTTTTTTTTGCTTGTGGAACTAATCTGGGCAGCCAAGAAAGGAAACAGAACTGCGAGTGGGGAAGGCTGATGCAGAATAGAGATGAGCAACCCAAATAAAGTCTCTTCACTTGAATGTTACGTCGGTAATAGAAAGGGAATTTCCCCTCCAACTTAATCAAATGCACAAATCTACATTTTTGGAACAAGTTGCAATAAAAAAGAAAACTCAATTACCCAACTGACTAATAAAAAAAAAAGACCATCATTCCGAATCAATGCAATAATAACTACACTGTATAAAGTACAATTTAGAGAAATACTTTTTGGGGTTTTTGTTTTTTTAATCTCAAATCTTTGAGAATTAAGATATCACCATTTGAATGTACAAACGATTATTTTTAACAATAGAAGAACATTGTTTTGTTTTTTTTTTTTGTTCTCATCTCAACAAACCATTTGAATTGAAAATAGATAACAATATTCCCACAACTATGGAGAATCAATCCGCTAATTATATTAGTCACTTTCAACTATAATACATGACACAGTGATTTTTTTTTTCTTTTTCTGACATGTAACAGCAAGGATGTTATTCAAAGTTATTACAAGAGCTAATTTCAGACATTCAAAAGACAGTACAAATGTTAGTTGAACATAACACTCGATTTGAAAATAGACACCCCAAAATTTTCAATCGATCAGCAAATTTCTGATTGAAATACTGAGAACAATTTTACAATAATTAATTTGTGATGTGTCGATCTTTCATTTTATTGTTGCTGTTTTTTTTTAATAAAAAAAAAAGTCATTTTTACATTCTATGATTGTTAACTAGCCCTTAGTGGAAATGAAGATATTGCTTATTTAACAGTCATAGAATATAAAACAACTTGAAAATTTTGATAAACAGTAAAAGGAAAGACAAACTAGTTAAAAAGTAATTAAAAAATGCTTTGTCTACAAAATTCAGACAACTTAAAGATTATAATTTTACAATGAGTATAAAATCTGAATGAAAAAAAAATACACATCTTTTTTCCTAATTAAACAGATTTTGTTGGAAAAAAAAAAGTAAATTAAGTAATTTTACTGCTCTTTGCTAATAAAAACTATACAGATATTATTGATAATTACTAAAAAAATCATTTGGAAAAATAACAATAGTTAACAGATACGGTTGAGTGTTTTCAGATGACGAAAAAACAAAAGAACTGTTTCAAGGCCAAAGATTCAAAAGTTACTCAAGATTCACTGAATAAACAAATATTTTTTTTACAGGTTTTGTACATTTTTGGAAATTGCAACAACAGAAATAATGTGATGTGCTTGTATTTTTGCCTCAGTTTCAGGAACATTTGATCCTGATTTAAATTGAAATATTTCAAGTTTTCATAATGAAAATAATAAATGTAATAAATTTAAAGTAGATCCTAATCATCACAAGTCAAATTCCAGGCCATTTGTTTTTTAGTTTAGTTTAAAAAAAAGTAGTAAACTCAATAAAATTTCTAATCCAAAATCTTCAAGAAATCCGGATAAAAAGTGATTATACGAATCACTTGATTAAATTTTTATCAAATGGGAATAGTTAAAATGGAATTATTTTAAAAAGAAGAAACAAAGACTATTTCTTTAAGAAAAAAAAGGACTATTTAAAAAAAATTTCTATTTCTTAAAAAAGGCTATTTCTTAAAAAAAAAAAAAAAATTCATTTTGCATTCTAAACTTGAAAACACAGATCAAATAAAAAGACAGAAAGAAAAGCAGTAAATCATTTCAGGCTAGTTTTAGGGATGATGACAGGTAATGCCTTCTTTTCTAGAATTCATACAGAGGCTGCTTAAAAACCCCTTACACCGGATCAGTTTTTTTCCCTTCATTGTTGCAAGTAATTTTTACTTTGATTTTCTTTTTTATTATTTTTCTTTCAAAAATCAAAACCAATTTGAAAAAATTACTTGGAAAAAGAAAGAATTGTTAAACTTTTCTAATGTTGAAGAAGACAAAAACGACACGTCCAAATTTAAGCTTACATAACCAGTAACTGTTGCACATTGCATCAGTTCCTTACATTAACATTCCTCAAAAAAAAAGAAACATTCAACTGAATTAGACTATAACAAACATTTCTGTCTAAATGAAACATTTCACAATACACAAAATTTGAATCACTGAGCAGATATTTAGCCAAGAACACTGTGTGACTAGCACCATACCTATAAGAGAGGAACCAGTAGTCAGGGATTGTGCCTGACAACAATTCTCTAGAACTGATTCTAGTGACCAAATGATCACTACTACCATAGTCACCTCAGCCAATCGATTCTAAAAACAATAATAACAATGACTCCCCCCACCCCATCCACAAGATAGGTGGGCGGAGGGAAAGGTCCAGAAAAAATAGAGAGAGAGAGCGAGCTGTCATTGGTCAACATTTGGGTTGTTAGTAGACATAAAGATCAGGAATTTGCATGTGAAATACAGGAATGGAATCTTCAGGGGAACTGAGGTTGGTGGCTGAAGATGGTGTCTCCGGGGGATTCGAAACCAAATCGAGGATTTCATTCAACTTGTTGTGGAAGTGGTTGGACTGAAATAATTGAAAATAATTGAAAGTGACAAAATAAATAATGAAGAGAAAAAATACATGTAGATAAAAAACAAAAATAAAGTAAATGCAACAAACGTTTTAACTTTTATAGAATTTTACAAATGATAAAATTTCCATCAAGTTTTATTGCACTTTATAAATTTCTCCAGGGTTTGTGTAATTACTATGTGTAGCAGGTAGGCATACAGGCTGAGAAAAAAAAGATATTGGTAATGTTTAACCTTCATGCCCACAAATAAACAGTAGGTCAAAAAAAAAAACAGTTATTCCCTTGACACCACTGTTACAGCCAATTGAGATAGAGGATGACAGAGCAAGAGGCACAGTTCATGAGTTGGATGATTTTTTTTAATTTTTAACCACATATTAACCTCAATGGGTTATGTAATGCCAAAATCTAAACATTTTTGAACAATTTTATGGCTTCAACTAAATATATTTTGAACAAAATTATATATCTACAACTACAGATAAATGTATGGTTGGTAATTCTATTTTAAAAAAATAAATTGCTGATCATTAACAGATTGTGACATCTATCAGAGGAATGAAATTTAAATTTTTATTATTGCATTATTCCAAAATTTTAACACATCAGCAGATAACTATTAATATCAACAACTGAGCACAAATAATTAAATAAAAAAAAATTGTAATTAATGTATATTATCCATAACTACATGTACAAGAATGTCATTTTTGATAAAAATTTTAAAAAAATAAGCATAAATACATAAAAACTGCATATATTGTTGAAAATTCCTTTTTCCACACTATGGCTATTTGTGCTATGTTATAATGCTTATTTACCTAAACATTAATAATACTGAATAATTTTTTTTTTTAAACATTAAGTATATTTAATCACATTTCTCTAATAGCTGTTGCAATCTGTAAAAACATGTATTATTGGTAATTTTTTTTTTGCAAATAAAAAAGTATTGCTGGTATTTTCATACTTTCACAGTGTTTTGCTTTTGTTCAGACGAGGGGGGGGGGTCACTATGTAGAGTAAATTGGCCATAGTTAAATATAAATGGCAGAACTGCCCAAGAGAATTGACAAAGTTTGCAATAACAAGGAAAAAGAAAAGAATAGGTCAAAAGATAATATAAAGCAAGCAAACAATATAAGCAACACAAAACAACAGTAATATGGCAAAAAGTTCACAAACTATGAATTGGTGGTGAACACTAGAGTGAATACGGATAAACGAACATAGCAAGATAGACTGAGAAGAAATCCCAGCATGCACCTGTGTGGTTCTACCTATAAATTGGGGGAGGCGAAAGTGCTTTGCAGTCATTCCCACTTGAGATTGGAACCAACACACTCTTTGTCTATAGCTTGGACTCTAACAGGTGCTACCACCCTGGGTCAGGGTGGACCTGGGAACAACAGCAATTAAGGTGGTTCTATGCTCTTCAAAACCTCCAGGTTCCCAATCAAAGGCTTTGCTGCCAGATGTAGTTTATTGTCATACACAGAATGGGGATATGTTGGGAAAATAAAGGTTGACCCTAGACTTGAACAGTCCAAGATTGTAGTGATCAGAAAGCATTCTCTTGGGAGTTGGTTCCACAAAGCAGCAGTTTGTGTGAAGAAGTTGCTCAAGTGGAACTTACATCTCACCAATGGAATACAAAGGGAATGAGTGTGGCTTGCTGCAATGTTTGTGGCCTGGCAGGTCTTAGATTAGAACTGGTGAAACAAAGGAATGTATTTTGAACACTTTCCATGGAAACAACAATAGAGCAGTGATAAACGTGGAACATTTTGTCATTAAGAAAGGAGTTGTAAAGGGGAAAATAATTCATCACCCACAAGGATGCAAAGACACTTTTTGGCAACATTTTTGGCCTGATTTGGCTCTTGTAAAAATACAGGATAATGGGAGGAGTCAGGTACTTACTGGAGTGCTACAGAGAACCAACCATTTTTTCCAGCATCTTTAATGATTGATCACATGTACAAGCTCCACTTAAGGTTTGGGTTGAGTTTAAGTCCCAATAGGCACTCAAGGCACGAGAGCCTCCCTGAGAGAGCATCTTATACATTTTGACTCCCTTGGCAATGGTTATTTTAAAAAATGATGATTAGAATTTCAATAAAACCCAAACTTATGAAAGTGGATTCATACATTTTCTTTATTCTTGAGAATTGATAGATATTAAACACTTAATTTACTAGATTGCTTATTTACAAGATTATAAAAATAAGTGAACCAATTATAATGAAATATTTATTATTTACCATTTTATAAAGGATTAAATATAAAAAGAAATTTTATTCATAAATTTACAAAAATATTAGTGAACAAGAAAATAAATTCACTAAAATAGGTTGAGAGCAACTCTGCTTCTGACATATTTTAATAATTTTGTAATTTTTTTATAAATTTTTCTTTCTTTTCAAATTTCTTTATAAAAAAAGTAAATAATAAATCTTTATAAAGAGTAAATAATAAATATTGCACTGTACTCAGCTCACATATTTTTATAATCTTGCAAATAAACATTACTAAGGGAGTCAAAAGTAATAGCAGTATCAAGGGAATAACTCATTTTGACGTAACATTTTTTGCAGGCACAAAGGTTAAACACTAGCAAGATATTTATGTGAACTTGATACTCCAGAGAATATACAGGAACCTGGTAAATTTTATAAAAATGCTACAATGTCAAGACAACTGTAACTACACAATACATGAGAAATAAATGAAGATCACAGACATAATGTGGGGAAAAACAATAAAATAAATTTGTATATATCAGATCAATTTTAGGAAAATGTATGACACGTTTCATCCTTTAGGACTTCATTGGACTAAAGTGATGTTTATGTTGATGTGATTACACATGCTGATGAAGGAGAGAGATACTGAAATCTTAAATTTAAATTTCTTTTTAATGTGTTTGGGTATATAGTCTAACCGGTTTAATTTAGATTTTTTTCTTACTTTTGTTATTAAATATCCCACACTGTGATAATAGAAGATCTGCCAAGAAAGGTAAAATGTTGCTTACATAAATTCCTAAACATAATTTACTGTGAGTGATCTAGCGATTAAAGCACTTTCTATATATATTTTGTCTTAGTAAATTACTTTCTCTCAATTAAAGCAATAATTTTTTTTTTTTTTTTTTTTTTTTAAATCAAAATTGTGGTCAGATTAATTATGATGAGAAACTAATGCATTGACCGTGTTGTTTTGTAAAAGATGCCTTTTGTGTTCATATAATCATTTATTTAAATTCCTTGAGGTTTCTCCTATGTATTCCTTGCAGCAATTACTACTGGTGATATAGTAAACTCCCCTTTCAAGTTTTAGCTTATTATTTTGTTTTTGTATTAAGTCTTTTATTGTTTTAGAAGTAGCATCAAATTTTATGTTAAGCTAAGATAAATTATTTTTTTGTTGGTAGGTAAAATAATATATTTTGATTCATTGGGTTTATCAGAATGGTTCACTCTTCTATTCTGAAATATTTTACAAGCCTTTTGAAATAATTAGGGTATTGGATGAGCTTGAAAATATTTTCAATGTATTTCTCTTCACCATATAAATATTTAGGGCTACAAATTGAGTGTTCTGTAATGTTTATATGTATATAAAAAAAACACAGCAGAATTAATGAATAAGATTTTTATGATATGGGGCATTTAGAATGTAAAAATAGAACAAAAATGATTTTTTTTTTTTCTTATTTAATTACTTACTTTGGCTTCAGAACGTGCCACAATTTCTTCAAATGGAGCATCCCGGAACGTTTCAAAGATTTGCAGACGTTTCTTTACTTCTTCATCCTTATCAACCGTTTCTTCTTCATCTGAAATGAAAATCAATTCAATGTGACAAATGTGAATAAATATTTCAAACCACCAATATTTTGTGACTAAGGTACATTAAAAAATATATTCACATTTCATTCTACAAGCAGAAGTCAATCACGTTACCAACATGGGGTGCTGAAAAGGCCCTGGAATGCCTCATGTCACAAAATCTGACCAAATAAATGCTAAAAAGATATGGAATACCGAAAAAAAACATTTCAAATGAGTAATTATTTCTTAATGAAATTTAACCTCACCAAGAAATTATATTCTTGTCTATAGAATTTCCTCAGAAGAAAACACTACTGTAGTCCTCCAGGTTTTCAATCATTTGCCCACTATTATTCTGATATATTTCTGTATCATATCTTTCAAAAGAATTCTTGTAAAAATGTATTGGTACAGAGGAAATGAATTCTACTGCTTTTGTTTTCAGCCAAAATTCAGCTCAATAGCAAGACAAATTTTTCTGAAACCATTTACAATGCAACATATCATTATCTCCCAAAGTAGAGAATGGTTTATCCTCTACCAGCATCTTGTATACCTGGTGAGGAGCATTGTGTCATACAATATAAGGGCAGGGGTTAATAATATTGCTCCTCACACCCATCTAAATCAGGCACTGACCACTATACAATGCAAAATACTCATACGAGAACACATGAAAACTCAGATTTCAAGGTGGGAGAAAAAACAAAACAAAAAAACGGTTTCAAATCTTCCAAAAATGTTTACATTCACTGAGAATAATGGCTGAGTGATATAAAATATTTTGTTACAGGTGAATGCAGTTTAAATCCTTGCAATTTACGATTACATTTATTATTTCTGAATTGAGAGTAACTTTTATATTTTGGTCCTCAGTAGTAACCTTAAAAAACAAAACAAAAACAAAATCTTATGAGATATAAAACAAACAAAAAAAAAGAAAAACTTGCTCAACCCAACCTGTTTTAAATTTTTCATATCTGCTCTCTTAACTTTATATAAAAGATTTATATGCATTTTAATAATGAAAATCCCAGTGATATGACAAAACTTACTTTGCCTGCTGTTGATATACAGGACATCCCCCCAAAAAAATTACATCATTTTTTAGTCTAATAACATAGTTTTTAAAAATTTTGTTAAAATTTGAGATCATTTGAGTGAGAATTGGTTAAGTTAACTGAGAACTTATCTCAATGAGGATCTAACAGGAAGATAGATTAGGTATGACAGTGATAATGACAATGAGCTGTTGAAATGGCCACCATGTTCACCCAACTTGTGATTTTTTCTATGGAGCTATATCAAAGGACATGTCTATATCCCGCTCTTCCTACAAGCCTAGAGGAACTTAAGCAGAGAATCACTGAGGCGCTGGAGTATGTTACGCAAGACATGCTACAGAGTGTTTGGCAGGAGCTGGACTACCGACTTGATGTGTCGTGTCACATGTGGTGTGAAAGGCTTTGTGAAATCAGTTATAAAATCTACATCCCTTTGAATATCTTGTTATTTAAACAGCATATTAACCATTATGGGTCATTAATGTTGAAATGATTATCTTGTTCAAATTTTGATAAATCTTTTATTGTTCAATATGAAGCCTATTTTATTTGTCTTGGACATATAGTTACTCAGATATTCACATTTTAAATGTCAATTTTTAGGGGATACCCTCTGTGTGTGTGTGTGTGTGTGTGTGTATATATATATATATATATATATATATAAAGTTTTCAAGATACTGTGAAATGTTGGTATCTAGCATTTGTATTATAAACTAATTATCACTAACTGCTATTATCAAAATAAATAGACATATGGTAGCATACAATTCAACCTATTTGGTGATGTGTTTTTATTAGATTCGGTGTGTCATTTAGCTTAGTCTGTACTGCAGAGTATTTGATCAAAACCAAAATGGTGATGCCCATAAGAAATCACCATCAGTGTCTTTATATGATTTATTTCCAGTAAATGCTAATTTCTTAGTTTTTCTCTAAAATAGGCCAGCACAGCCAGGCAATAATGCTATTAACAATGCAGCAGTGAAAGTATTAAATACCCATATTCCTGAAAATATATTTTCAGATATCATAAGCTCATTCTTGTCAATAGTTTAATATTTAACATTTCAATCATGAGAACTCTAACTTTTAAAGTCCCTCATAATTTAACTACCATATATGTTGGTGTACAAGGCAATTGGGCATATAAGACAACCCCCTAATTTTCAAGTTAAAATGTAGGTTTCAGGCTGTATTTGCCATACAAGATGATCACCAGAATCATACTTTAAAATGTACAGTATTGAATTTATTAAATAAATTCATTAAATATATACTTTCTTTTCATTCAAATTCTAATGAAACAATGGTGGATAGATATTGTCAATTAACTACCACAATCTACAATACCTCATGAGTGGGTGTTGCGTTTTCGGTAAGCTATTACAATAAATTTCACCCTTGCTAACCATCTACTCATTCCACTGTTCCCGAATGCAATAATTAAATGGCTTGTAGAGACACACATTTCCCATGCTAACAACTTATCATAAACCACATGATTTAAGTTTCACATTTTATACCTGGAGTATAAGACGGCTCCCTATTTCTGGGCGGAAGGGGATTTTTTTACAGTCAGAAGGTCACTTTGTATGCCAACACATACAGTATGAAGGAAATATGCTTGGCTCAGTAAGTGACCATCTACATATAAAGAAAATTGTGGACAATGTCAGTCAGATTTAAGAAATAATTAGATAATACATACACAAGACTTCTACAGTAAGCCAAAAATCTTTCCTGGTGAAATGATATATGGCACCTTATGCCCAATCTCCCCTCTCTCCTGCTAATAGAGTCCAGTTTATGGACCACTGTCATAAAGCAGAATGCGAGGTCATCTCATCTCATCACTCATCCTCTGGAGACGTCAACTCCATGGCAGGACAAGCAAGAAATAAGCCTTTACTGACATCATCAGTAGGGATTAATAGGTAAGATCTGATGGTAGATATGCAGGATAGGGAGTGTTGGCACAGGGTTGTGGATTTTATGATCTCCACTGAAGCTGAAAGATTATGATGATGATAATGATGATGGTGGTTGAAAGAAAAATTGAAAGAAATTTTGAAAACCCATACAATTTGTTTTTGAATTTAAGCATCCCTCATAATTTTAAAAGGAGAATTTTATCTTCAATTCTATATACTGTAACTTTGCAAATTTTCTTTGTTGCATTTAGAGAAAATTTACTGAAAGTGACCAAGTTTCCGCAACTTTGTTATTTAAAAACTGAAAAGGACATCTTTTTTTTTTCTTTGTTTTTTTACTCACTGAGCATTTTCTTCAACGCTTCAAAGGTGACATCATCCACTTTCTGTCAAGAGAAGAATTATTCAGAATTGAGATTGAGAAACCAGAAGTAGGAATAAAGTTTGAATAAATTATACAAAGAATAATTTAATATTGTATGAAGTTTTTTTATTATAGTTTTATTAATTATATACTGGGTGCAATGGGTAAATTGTTGCCATTTTATATTTTCCATTTTATATTTTCCATTTCATGCATGCGCATTATTTGTCTTTGATTTTGTTGACTGCACAGTATTGTAGGGTCAGTTGGGCACTGTCTATGAGAAAACGAACACCATGGTGCAATTCACTTTGCTAGAAATTTGGAAAACGAATTGCTGTACTGGTTAGTATTCATGCCGGAAGCTCCAATACAAACATTTCAGAGTATTTGGGTGTCAATCTGAGGACAGTGCAGAGGATTTGAAAAGAGTTGGATGAATCTAATGGTGATCACAAAGGTACAGCAGCTTGGAAAACTCATTCTGATCTCCTGAAAAAAAGAACTCCCAAATTTGTTTGTGAGGGCCTTGAGGAGGTAGTGCTGCTCTGAATCAAGAGGGTGGCGACTGGAAGATCCTATGCCTGGCAACAGGACTCTGCACCATGTCACACAAGCAGGAGAATCCAATCAGACAATTTCTGCAACCACATTATCCTTTACAACTGGCCACCTAACTCCCCAGACTGCAATCCACTTGTATATGTGGGATGCAGTTGAGCAAGAGACCAATACAACTTCTTGTAACACCAAAGATAAACTGAAAATGAGGATTATGGCAGCATTCACCAACATAAATAAGGAGACCATCAAGAAGAGATGCAGGAGATTCCAAAATCATTCAGAGGCCATGGTTGAAGGAAATGGCAATTTTATTGAATAAATTTACTCTTTAGTGTTTCATGATATTTTTGTGCAATTATAGGAAATATATTTGTTAAAATGTGATGTCAGTGTTATTTTCATTTTTACGTAATTCAGACAACAATTTATCCATCACTCCCTCTGCGTGTGTGTATATAATTTTTTTTTTAATTATATATAATTTTACTTTTCAAGTCTTTTTTTATTCATCATTTATTGTTTAAACATTTTCTGTCTAAAGTGTATCAAACTATACCATGAAAATTTCAGCATAAATTTTTTTTTTTTTTTTGTCCAGGATACTGTCACAAAATGAATTTATTTTAAATGAAAAAGTAGAGTTGATTTTCATACAAAATGTTGATGTTAACATTCCAAACAAACCAACTTTTATAAGTTAAAAAGTTAATTTTCTCAAATTTTAATTTTAAAATTATAAGTTGTTACAATTTTTATAACAAAAAAAAAAAAATTATAAATATTCACTAAGATTTTTAATCATCAAATCAATCATAGCTTGCCTGCTCATGATGGAGATTTATATTTTCAACAATATTTTTATTATACACAGACTTTGATATCACCAACATCTTTTCTAAGGCTAGATGTGATATTATTTATTCTTTTTGCAAATATGTAGTTATTTAACTAAATTTGTTCAAAATATTTTTTAAATGTAGCACAATGGAAATTTTAAAACGTTATTTCACTATTTCTTTTAAAAATAACATCATTAAACTGTAATTTTCTTCAATATCACAAAAAGCAAATATAAAAACAAATGTTGAAATATTTAATTTAAAAACAGCTTATAAACTCAAAGGAACTGAGTTGTACCTTAGGAACTGTGGGTGATCCATTTGCACTTTCAATCTCCAAGTTAACAGAATGGATGTCACTTGTACTGTGAGTCATATCAGTGCTCTCCCCTGCAAGCAGACAGTCATAGCATTAAATAACTATATATGAAAAGAAAAACTGTAGGGTTTACAAGATTAAATTTGTTCAAAATACTTCTTTCAGTACATTAGTTACATTATAAAGCTTATTAAAGCGTAATAGATAATATTATGTTTATCATTTTTATTATGTTTTTCTTAGAGATTTAAGAATTTAAAGTACCCAAGAGGCAAATCCTACTTAGCAAAGTAGCCGACAGGCAAATCCTCCTTAGGACCTGACAAGCTACACTACTTCTAAGTACCTGACAAGCTACACTACTTCTTTACCTATTATATAACATATAGGTCATTTGGCCGAGTCCATTTCTATAAGTGGCAAAGAATGAAACAATACAGTGAATTGCTGTTTAATATTTTGAACGCTTTAGTTTTATCATTTCTCTTGCTAACTTTTTGCCTGATTATATACTTTTTAAAATACCCATCTAACTTTTCAAATAATATTTCAACAACATCACTAATTCTAAATTTATAAATAAGAAATCAGAAAAATATATCAATGCTGTTACTACAATGAAAACAATCAAAAGAACTCTTTAAAAAGAGAGAAGAGAGAAACTATAAACAAAGTCATCTCTAATGGTAAGGTTTTAAAAGTTGAAAATTTAACAGCTTTGGTTTTACATTTTCTTTTTAATTATCAAAGTTTCCATACTAATAGATTTCCAATTAGCTATGCTTAATTCTACACAATGGTAATATCTTAATGCTGATTTTAAGCTAATTCCCTATGGAGATCTAGTAGAAAGATGGACAGAAGACAGCATACATCCTTTCCTAAAGAAAGATCTATGATCAACAAAAAATTATAGAGGAATCACATTCACTTCCATTGTAGCAAAAATTTATAAGTCAATGCTTCTCAACAGAATACAGCTGAAAATAGTACCAAAAAACTCAAAATGACTCTCAAAAAAAATAAATCAACTGTTGGATAAATCCTGACTGAAAGATTATGGAGGGTGTCAGGGCAAAGAATCTACAGGCCGCCTTACTTTTTGTAGATTTCTCTGAAGCCTTCAATTCTGTACATAAGGGAAAAAAATGGAGAAAATCCTTCTGGCATATGGAATCCCTACTGAGACAGTAACTGCCATAATGATGCTATACAAAAATATCAAATCTTTGGTTAGATCCCCACATGGAGACATTAGCTTCTTTGACATCAAAGTAGGGATCCTTCAAGGTGACACTCATGCACCTTTTCTCTTTCCTGGATATCAACTAAAACCCTAGTCTAAACTTGATAGAATTTACACTTGGATACTGATAGTTATAATTAACATCTCTTGGAGACAACATCCAACTAAATCACCACTCTCTTGATCCATCCCTAATATTTCTACAACCTTACACAAATGCAGAATGCACTTTACAGGCAAGCAAAACAAGAATTTGCAAGTGATCTACTGATCTGAACACCTCGTCATGGAGCAAGACTGGTTGGTCACTCAGTAATCTCTTACAGTAACCAGCTATGACACAGAATTCCACCCAAATGACCTCCCAACCTTAATGCAGGACCATGATAACATCATAAATGTCTGAGCTAGCTCAACCAATTAATAGAATGGTGTAAGAAGCTATCCTCACCAAAAAAAAAAAAAAAAATGTATAAATTTTTGAGAAAAAAAAAGAAATAACAATAAATATTAGCTACTAAACATGCTTATTACAGTGTGAATAGATGAGTTGCAGTAATAGAGCAATCATTTTCAAGCATAAATGCTTAACATCAAGGTGACTATTAAACTATTATAAATCGTTGCTTTAAAATAGCAAATATATAAATACATAAATATATGAAAAGAAAGGCAAGCAGCATCTCAAACATTTCTCCTGAAAAAGAAAAATGTTAACAGTAAAAAATAAAAAAATAAAAAATGTTTCCTGACTTACCCACACCAAATGGGCGTAAACTGAAAGGTACATCAAGTCCAGCTGTATCATGGCCATTATTCTGTAAACTCTCTGATATGTTCTTTTGGGAGAAAAGCCAGCTCTCTTTCATGGTGGTGTCAGTTGGATAACTAAGCAGGGAAGAAATATATATATATATATATATATATATATATATTGATAGTATATATAAAGACTACATTGGATATCTAAAGTTCAGAAAAATTATATTTGTTTACTAATCTGTCTATATTTCTGAGATGAGGTATTGTAACTATTTACATCATTTGGACTGTTGTCCTCATTTTTATTGCCATATTCATGACATTTGACGCTGGCATTCTTCAGGTGATATACATTGGAATTTTGAACCGAACCCTTTATTTAGAAATGAATACAATATGGGAAAAACAATAACAAAAAAAAATTTAATATGAGCTCTCATAAAAAATGATTACCGAGACATTAGGTCCCAAAAAGGGACACATGGCCCAGTGGATAAATGCTTTATATGAAGTAATCTAAAAAGTGACTTTACCAAAAAAGTTGTGAGTTCAATATCTGGCCACAAAAAGAAACAAGAACTTGGAGAGTTGAATTACTAAAGGGAAAAGAAAAAGAAAAGGCATGGCATGTGGAACTAGAACGATTTGCTCCCATGGACTAAATAAAGGGTTCAGTTCAAAATTCCAACATATATCACCTGTAGAAGACATACAATGTCTGAAACATCATAAATATGGCAATAAAGATGAGGCAACAGTCCAAATGATGTAAATAAAAAAAGAAATTAGAAATACTTATCATTCATTGGTTTTGTTAATGAAAATAATGTTCATTAATGTTACCAAAAGGAAAGAAGGTATCCTTACTGCTTTTTTAATTTTATTTTAATAAGTACTTCATAAAAGAGTGAATAAAATAAATGCTTGTGTACATCATTGAGGAGAACTTTTTATAAAACAATCACTCTTTACTCATGTACATAATTTATTGTATCAATATCACTTTAAGCACCTTTACAAGTATAGTCATTGGTCTAAATGGAACTGAATATAAAACTAGGAAGGAATGTTACTTAAACTGTAGCCAATTAAAAAGCAACAGTTAAATATACATAATAATAATAATAATAGCGAATAGTAGATGAGCAGGTCGCATAAGAGTTATCACTAAAAAAATGAAATTGATAATTTAAGTTCAAACTTGGTAAGTCTTCTCTGTTGAATTTACTTTTGGCACTAATACTTTTGGGAAAGGCATGAACCCATCCGACTAGCTAAGGTAACTTTCTTAACACCCAAAGATTTCTGACAGTAACATTTCAAGTGCAATAAACAAATAAGAAATGTGAATATTAAAGGAATATGCATCTTTATTGCTATTCCAAGACAAAGTGCAAAAGATACGACTTAGATCAACAAAGATGATTTTAATTACTCACAGTTTATTATAAAATTTACTTGCAAAACATTTATATACATATATATTTGATGTTATGGTCATTACTAAGTTTGTGGCTTGGTCAAAGGACAAGTTCAAAATGAAGAAAATAAAATACTTGAAGTGATATGAGATTTTTAAAGAAGGTGACTAAGCTTAATATTAAAATTTCTCAATAGAATTGTACCTTATTTCATTTATAAATATTGCTGATATAATAAAAAAAACAATTTATATTTGAAAGCTGAGACAAAATTAATTAAGTCACCAGACAGATATTCACCCAACAACCAAATGATAAGGCAGAGCAAATTTTTACCTGCTCGATCTGTTTTTTCGATTAAATGCAAAGTCGGGGAGTAAAAATGGAGCTTCCTCAGCTCTGCATGCAAGAACCTGCAAAAACAAAGAAAGAAGAATAAACAAACACCTTTTAAATGACCAATCCAAAAAAATGGATTATTTACACTATTTACATCATTTGAACTGTTGCCTTCATCTTTTTTTGCCATATTCACGATATTTTGGCCATTGTACGCTCTGGCCTAGACACATGCACCAGGGGATAAAAGCATTGGTTGAATCCAGTGACTTCACTCAAAGAGTTGTGAATTCAATACCTGGATACAGCTGATAAGTGATACTGAGACATCCAGAAGAGGCATGGCATGTGGAACTAGGACAATCTACTCCAGTGGATGAAAGAAAAGGTTGGGTTCAAAATTCCAATCACCTGAAGAAGGCCAAAGCATATATAATGGCCAAAACATTGTGAATATGGCAACAAAGATGCAGACAACAGTCCAAACAATGTAAATAGCTTAAATAATTACAACAACTCATTTCAGAAATATAGACAGATACTAAAAAGTGAATCTGAAAATTTTCCACGTTTCAGAATCTTTTGTTGCAAGACAGAAATTTTTAAAAATAACTCTGAGAAATCAGTTTTCTAGCAAGAGATCTTTTTTATATAAAATAAAATCTAATTTTATATCTGGAGAAATTGATGATTTTAATTTGGGAGCATATTTTAAGTACAAACTGTTATAAACATTGAGCAAAAAAAAAAAAAAAAAACAACAAAAAAAGAAAAACAAAAAGAAGTTTTTTTCCTCCCAAGAAAAAAAAAAAAAAAAAAAATTTAAGCAATCCTTGCAAAATCCATAAGTTATACTTATAATAATTATTATTGACAAAAACTAAAAAAACATTAACTATACTACATATATAGTACATAAGCACAAGAATATTTTACAAGTACCTGAACAATCTGACCTATCAAAACAAATGAAATGATCCACACTAACAATTGATGCTTTTGGTTTCCAAAGGGCTGTATACAAAGCAACAATTTAAAAAAGCGGTTAATATTTATTTTGAATCTTTTCTTTATAATTTTCTTGTTCGTTATGAAATTTATTTATACATTCTCCCAGCTTTTCTTAAATTAGGTGCAGAAAAGGTGGGAGAATGTATAATTTCAATTAGAAAATTGTAAATGACTTTTTTTTTACTTTTTTTTTTTTAAAAGTCACTGAATTTCATTCTCTTTCTTTAATCACAAGAAATGCCAGATTAGTGGAAAAGGTATTAATGATTTATTATTTAAGCATACACACACACACATACACACACAAATATATACACACATTTTTTTTTTTTTGTTTTTGATCTGATTTCTTTAAACCTTGTTATTTTAAACTTGATATTGCCATTACTTTTAAAAATGTCCTCAATATCATTTATGGAAAAAATAAATAAAAGTCATAAATTTGAAAATCAATGTGAAAGATTCTTGCAATTGTGTGGAAGCTATCCCAGAATGCTAGTCAAAAAATGATCGCTCTCAGCTGGGTCCACGAGAGAGATATTCTGATGTTATGGAGGCCTGAACGTTTCTATGACTCCAGAATAGACATCACTGAGAAAGCATTTGGATGCACAACATATGTCTATAAAATGAACATGTCTTGGAATAATGAGTTTATACTCCAAACAATGTAGATTGCTCAGAGGTGAGACAAGCAGACCAAGTCAAAAGATTCCATTGCTTCAATTTCAATTGTAAAGTTGATGAAACTTTGTATTATAATTGCTTGTTTTGTTTGTTTATTTTTAAGACTGTTTCTTTCTTAATAAAGTCTGTGTTTTCTTATAATACTTATATTAGTTATGGTGGATAGTGTTTCAATATCAAGCCTCTACCTTTTATTTCACAAGTTTGTTTGACTTGGTCAGGCAGAATTATCCCCAAATTGGTCACAATTCAAAACAACAAACAAAGTAACAGCAGAAACAAATAGAAAAAAAAATCAATTTCTTTATTTACCTGATTAACATGATCTGAAAAGGCAGGAATGGCCATCAACAGAGCCAAAAGATTTAAGTAGGCTGCGAGTAAAGCATGAATAGCACATTTGTGCATGATAGGAAGGTGGTTGGTGGTACAAACCATATGCTAAAAGAAAAAAAAATAGCAGAGTTTATAAAAGCAAAGAATGATGACATTGTATTAAAGGAAAATAATATATTCAATATATCTTTCACAGTTGAAAACAGAACATGGGAAAGTTGAAGTTTAATAATAAAAATAAACGATTTCATCCTGTGTAGTTAAATCTTTTTTTAAAAATCAACCAAAAACTCTCCTCCACAAACAATCCTTACAAAGTCCACAAATTATATTTATTATAATAATAATATTGATAAAAACTATAACATTAACTACATTGTACATAAGTAATTTTTATAAATACCTGAACAGTCTGAATATAATCTGTTTAACAGAACTTATAAAAAAATGAAATGAGCCACAAAAACAAATGATTCTTCAGGTTTCTAAAGAAACTTAATGATGATATATATATATATATATATATCTTAATGATATATATATATATATATATATATATATATATATATATATATATATATATATATATATCTTAATGATGAGATATATATATATATATCTTAATGATAAGATATATTTTGTGTACTTAGGTAACAATCCCACTTTTATACATGTTTTGTCAAAGACAACTGACAAGGTACTATAAGTTTTTTGTTTTTTTATTTAATTTTTCTTGTGTTTGTACAACTGTTTTCTTTTCTGGACACAAAGTGTGTAAAAATTGTTCAAATGTTCTGCATATGCAAGTGCTTTCAGCTAATACTTTTAATCATTATCAAGGATGATTTTATTTTTTACTTTTCAACTGAATGTGTTAGGTGTCTGTATGTATCTAGAGTTATAGGGATGTTTCCAAACACAGCAAATTGTGGCTGTGTTCATAGTTAATGTTATTAAGTGTAGGCTTTTTATTTTTTTATTATTAGGGCGTCCATTAGTTTTAATCTTTTTTTACATTTGAATGAGGTTATTATGCATGAAATTTCTACTAGTATGTTTCAGATGGACTATTTTAGGTTTCTGCGTGTGTTTAAAAGAGTTCTAATGAAGCTGTGTTTGGATAGATGTAACATAGGTTGTACGAATAGTCATGTAGTAGTGTGACTGATGTAATTATGAGTTTGGTTTGATCAGGAACACGGTTCCTTAAGGGGTATTTGAATTCGCAAATAATGTTTCTTTGTAGTTTTGATTTTGAAGGTGCGTTGTTATTTTTGACGCTAAGGTTAGCAGTTTTCATTTTTTGTAATAGATAATTTTTTACATATATATATATATATATTATTATTATTACTATAAACATTATTTTTAGTGAGTACACATGTTGGAGTTGCCATTCCTGTTTTATTTTTATTTTATTAAACATTAAAGTTAATAACAGCCAAACTGGAATGAGAAGTATTCCGAAAGAAAAATCATGCCTTCAACAAAAATCATACCTGTATCCTCCTTTTTTACCCCCATCTGGGAGGCTACTTTTTGAGCCAATGTGTTCTGCTACCAGTTTGACCACAAAGACCAGTATAACAGAGCAAGGTTTTGAATTACATATTTAAGGAAAGCCCATTTCTTGTTGGTACTTCCATGAATCTATACCTGTGAGCTTTATTTTCATACCCAAAACATAAACAACAATAATTTTGAAAGGATTTTTTTTTTTTTAATATTATTTCTTATTACTATAAACATTATTATTTTTAATGGGAAAATTAAAGACAAAGTGGAAAAAAATCTTTGTGTGATGCATTTCATCCTTTAGGATGTAAATGAACTAAAATCATGTTTCCCTTGATATAACTATATATGGATATGAATGGGAGGGGCATGCTAAAATTTTAAACTTTTAAATTTTGTTTAAGACGTGCTTGGGTGTACAGTCTTGTAAATTTCATTTGGTTTCCTTTTTGTTTTGTTTTTTATCACTTTTGTTTTAAAGTATCTCACATTGTGACAGAACTGTGAAAAAAAATGAAAAACAGTGACGCAAATTTTCCTGACATTGTCCAGGTATATAAAAATTTATATATCATTTTCTCTCTCTCTCTCTCTCATATATATATATATATATATATATATATATATATGGCCCATGGCAGAGTGGTTAGAATGTTCACTTTCTGACCATGAGAGCCAGATACAAATCTCACCATGTTCAATTTGGCAGGAAGGTGACTTCCTTGATGTTATTGGTCTAAGGGAGGCAATTCCAGCATGAGGCACTCTTGGAAAGTGCCTGAAAACCATACCATGGGTCAACCCAAGCCTCATGAGTGGAAATGAGTAAACGGAATTCTTTGGGAGCCAATAATTGTTGTGCTAGCACAAAGTCATAAGTTATCGTGACCATAGGTTTGAGCATGCTGGCCTTGTTCAGACTGATAATCATGTTAAAGAATGCACTCTCTCCCAGAAACTGTAACTAAGGTCTGCTCAGCATAGTTGCAGTATAAACCAGAGGTGGGCTCTGTGGGTGTGGGAAAAGCACAAATGTGCCTGAGCAGGCATCTGCAACAGGCATTGGTTAGCCACTCTAGTAGACAGGCATCCTCAGATATGAATGCCCAGCCATGATATATGTGTGCGTGTGTGTAAATTACTTTCAGATAGAGTTTATCTGTAAAGGAACAAAATGAATAAAAAGACAAGAGGAAAAACTATTCTTAGCCAACATGTTTCATCTTCTGAGGGACTTTATCAAGGCAAATGTAGAATTTGTTTTGTTGCACATGTTTGTATACAAAAGCAGGGATACCATTGGTTAAGCAAGGCTTTTAAATTTGAGAACATTCACGAATATTCATCAGGTGTTCGAAAAGTCAGTCAAAACATGTGGATGACAAAAAGTACCTTAATTCAAAATCTGATGTGAACAAGTAATATTCAAGAAATTTTGTTTTTTCTCTAAAAGAATTACTACTTTCCCAAGCCAACATACATGATCACAAAAATGTTAAAAAAAAAAAAAAATAATCAAAAGAAAATGGTGAAATCCATTGTCATATTTTTGAAGATGTACAGCACATACACCCATCCCAAAACTTGTTTTTATATATATATATATATATATATATATATATAAGTCAAGAAAATCTTTAAAAATACATCTTGGTTATAATTTATTTCATGAATATATTTATATATTCATCTCTTCAGACCAAAAAGTTTTTTCTAAAAAAGATGAATATATAAATATATTCATGAAATGAATTATAACCTAGATGGATTTTTAAGGATTTTCTTGACTTATTATTATATTATATTGCTCTGTAACTTACATTGAGCTCTCTTTGGATTAATGTCCTCCTTGAACTATTCCTACCAAATACCAATTGGTATTTGGTAGGAATAGTTCAAGGAGGACATTATATATATATATATATATATATATATATATACACACACACACACACACACACACACACACATACATACAAAATTGTGTATTATGAACATACTCTTGGCTGAAATGAGAAGACAATTACATTTGTCATCTTAAGATAGTCTTGCCCCCAAATCATAATTTTACCATATAATGAACCTGTTTCATTCTTGACTTGCCTACTAATTATCCCATTCAGTTTAATCCAAAACCATGATGCTCAAAGGTAGGATGAATTTCAAAACCAAAATCTTGCGATGGGATGTTAAGAGAGAGATTATGGTGTAGGACAATACAATGAACAAAGATTACTCTTCAATTTAGAAGATTAACAAAGTGATTATTTTTTTTACCTGAATATCAAGAGCAAGCCGACACAGATCCACAAGAATTTCATTACTTCCAACTTCAACTAATATTAAAGCCATAGTGCAATAGAGGGATGCAAAATTATCCAGATGGTTGGTTTCCATTTCAATATTTTCATACAAATGATGATAAAAATGATTGCCAGTCTGGAAAAAAAATAAAAAGGAAGAGAAAAAATTAAAATTACATATTGTATTTTTTTTTTATTTCATTCTTTAAATTCATTTAAATGTGTTTATTCTTTTTTTTATATTTTATTAAATTATCCTAATAACACATTTTGACAATTTTTATTTTGTTTTATAGACTTCTGTCTATATTTCTAAAATGAGGTATTGTAACTATTCACATTGTTCAGACTGTTGTCTTCATCTTTGTTGTCATATTCACAACATTTCAGTCATTGTAGGCTCCTGCCTTATTCAGGTGAAATTCCAATCACCTGAAGAAGGCTAGAGCATACAACAGCCAAAAATGTGAATATAACAACAAAGATGAAGATAACAGTCTGAACAATGTAAATAGTGTAAATTTATAAACTTCATCCAACCATTTAATATTTAAATGGACAAGAAATAATCAAAAAATTCAATAGCAGCAAGAGGAAAATTAAAAAAATCTAAAATTAAAATCATTTAAGTGTCATAAATGATCATTTGTGCTATATCATGTCATCTACACAAATTATTGCTACTGTTTTTTTTAAGTATCTGCCAAAATCCAGTCTCAGAAAACACAATAAGCTCATTCCCCATAAACATGGTCCCATGTGAAAATTGATATTTTCTATGTATCATCAGCTGGAGTTTTAATGATAGAATAATTTTTATTAATATTGTCAACATTTTCAATAGATGCATTACAAACATGAGCAAGTAATAAACAAGAAAGAGAAAATAAAATTGAAATGGTGGGGGAAAAAATAAAAAAGACATCAACTGGAGCAAAAATAAAAACAAAATTACAGATCATCCACTGTTCCTTATACAAGGAGGTGCTGAAAAGTTCTTGGTCTGACTAAGAAGCCCATTAAAAATAAATGTTTAGTGATATTTTGGGAAGTGGGCCAGACAGAAATTTACAGCACTCATTGTACAAATAAGTCTAAAAAATTAGACCTTGCGAAGGCTAGGGCTTTCATAGGCCTATGCATGGACCAAACGTGTGAGTAACGACAAAGTTTTGGAAAAAATGGAAACAAAAAGGAAACAAATACTTAACATCAGGAAGAGAGAATTGAGGTTTCTAGGTCATATAATGAGGAAGGAGGGCTTAGAAAATCTGATACTCACAGGACAGATAGAGGGCAAGAGGCACAGAGGAAGATGATGCATAACATAATGAGCTTGAGTAAATGGATGGCAGAACAGGACTTAGGAGATAAACAGAAAGACAAAGTTTATTAACAGATACAAAGGACAGGAAGTTGTACATGATCGCCTACATCCAGAAGAGAAACGGCACATAAAAAGAAAGAATGCTAACACTAGAGGAAGGTTACCTATGTTAGATGGTAAACTGAATTCTTGTATGTTATGCAATTTTTTTACTAATTCCAGGAAAAACACTGCATCCTTGATGCTGGCAAATACAGTATTTGTGTTACACTGGTATTGGTTCAAAAGAAATTTTTAAAATAGAATGTTTTCAATTGAAATTTTCCTGTTTTTTGATACTTTGCTTAGCTATTGGAAGGTATCTTTCACTATTACAGTTGGGCCTTTGGGTTTCTGTATCACATTTTTTGTTGTCTTGTCTTTCCTAATTTCTGTACTTGCTTTATGTTGAAATTTCAATTTGTAGCTCACATCTCGGACTGTCTCCTTTTGCTAATGATCAAACAATGTTTTATCAATGTTCCTATATGGCAATATGCTGGACAGTTTCATCACAGATGAAGAGGAGGCTTAAGGCAATAGAGACATGCTTCTATAGAAGAAGGCTGAGAATACCATGAACAGAACATGAAGGCAATCTGGAATTTTACGAAAAAGGCAAACAAAAAGGACAGAAAGAAAGAGGCTAAATTAATGAGAAACATAATGGAGAAAGAGGGCTTGAAGAATTTGATACTCACAGGATATATTGAAGGCAAGACAGGCAGAGTGAAACAGTAACATAACTGTTTGTGTAAATGGATGGCAGAAGATAGACAAAGAAGTAAGAAGAAAAACATTGCTTTGAGCTGTATAGAAAGTCGTGGAGAGTCATGATAGCACATGAATGAATATTTTTGATCTCTACTCTTATTAGTTAAAAAAAAAATATCTGTGGTTTATAAAGCCAGAGAGCAACAAGAATGTATGACTACAGTAAGAGGAGTGTAAATTTTACATCGACAGAAAAGTCAGCTAGTATATCGTTTCATGTCAGAAAGAGAAAAATCATGCACACACAAATGTAATCATGCTTCGCAAATAAAGAGCTTATTAGAAATGATTTCTTACCTTTTTCATAAACATTATGTCTTGTCGTGAAGTGGTTTCTATGGTCAAGTCTGACAGGTCTTTCAAAATACTATAAAAGACAAAAAACAAAGAATTCAGTATCACAAAAATTAGCCTCTTCTTTGCTCATACTTATTGACATGGAATGGTTCAACTTGATGAAAATATTTCTTTCCAATATTGATAATCAAAGCCATTATACTCGAGCTGATAAAGAATCTAAAAGCTATTTTCATCACTTGATCATCCTGGGTATGACATCCGACAGCAACTACTCTTGATTGGGGGGGCGTGACACCACATCTTAATTGCGGTTGTTCCTGAGTCCAGCCTGAACTGTGGTGGTAGCACCGGTTGGGGGTCTCAGTTATGGGCAAGTAGTTAACCTCCAAACTGGGATTAAAACACTATGAAAGTAAAAATAGATTTTTATAGTAAATATTACCAGCAATACCTTTGACTCCTGACAAAATGCCTCTTTATAAAAATACATCAATGAAACCTGATCTACAAATTGATTTCTTACAAAGAAATACATATTCTATTCATACAAATCTATCCTAAAAATATTGTTGGCATTAAATAGCCCACTGAGATGTTGATATGCCATAAAACAAAATAAACTAAACCAAATAAATTTCATCACTTGAATTGCTGAGAATATCCAACACATAATTTTCTGGCACATTGATACTTATATGAGTATTACAGCATCAACCCTTTTAAACAAAAATAGCAAACAAAGCCAATTGCTTGATAGCAATCAAAAACATGTTATTCTATAATGCATACATATTAAGCATAATTGGATCAGTGTTTTGTCAAAAGTCAAAGGTTATCCAAAAAATGCTTATAAACTTGTCTAGATGGAAAGCATGTTCTAGATTTTACAAAATCATAATTTCTTCTTCAATTTATAAAATTTCATTTATCAATTCATTTCCAAAAGGTTATTCATTTTTAATATGCTTTGTTTTTTTTAATTAATTCTTATAAAGAACTTACCAAACAGTTTTTAACTTTGGTGTATTCCCATGTCTATCAATAAGTGTATGTAGAATGTCCTGTACAATCAAGCGGAGAGCAGGTTCTTCTACCTGTGACATCTTCAGTAGAGGAATCAGGAATTCTGGAGGGAAGGCATTCATCATCACAACTGTCTGGTACTTGGTAGCCACCTGATATAACAATAGAAACTTTACTTTTCATGGAATAATAAACAAATATTCTGGATAAAGAAACTAAGCACTAATACTATTAATTAGAACAAAACAGAAAAATATTTTATGCATTTAAGTGCAGTGCTAGATTGGCAGCTAGGTCTCATCATTTTATAGTTGAAATTGCAAGATGTAACCATAAGTTCTACGCTAACAGTTTCTTCTTTCACACTTTTCGCTTGCGAAACTCTCTCTGGATTCTTGTTTTCCAGTTAACTTTGATCTTGAAAAATTTAAATGCAATGTTAATCATTATCTTCTGTCTTCTTAATTTCTGTTCTTTTATTGTTCTTTCACCTTAATGTTTTTGCTTTTCTCATTCATTTACACTCATTAACCCCTTCTATTTTAGTGGCTTTATAGCCTCACTTTGGATGAAATTATTAAAAAAAAAGACCCCATAAGCATTCATGCAACTCCAATAAAACAAATATCTTCTAAAATCCAAGGAAGGCAGTCTAATTTCTTTCAAATTTCAAAACCGCATCTCATATTAAAAAAAAGATTCAAAACCAAATTCTATATTAAAAAAAAAAAAAAATTTCAAAACCATATTAAAAAAAACCCCAAAAACTGAATTACTTTCATGATTTTATACTATTATGGGTTAAAACATTGATAGTTTGTTCTTTTTTTTTTGCTTTTTTTATATACATCTATTTTTTCTTTTTATTATTATAGTGCCATATCCCTTCAGGACATTGGAAATCATGACTCCTCACAGATTGTTTCTTTTAATATCTGAACCATGACTGTTCTTCAGGAGTGATTTCCCTGTTGCCTTCTCTACAGTTTCAAATTCAGTGTTATCATTCTCATAAATTGGTTACCAACTAAGTCTAAAGTGGAACTTAAAAAAAACAGCACTGTATTATCAAATCACAAGCCAATCCTCTCCACAGCAGTTTGAGAAGCATTATGACCAAGGTTTGAACTTGTTCAAAAAAAGTAAATGCATTTCTTCTTTTTTCCTGTTCAAGACGAGGGGTATATAAGGTTTTAAGTTAAATTCTGAAAGAGATTGATATAAGAAGGCACTAATAACAAAGAGGGCGCTAATCATTAGGAATGAGTAATATATTTTTATTTTTATATATTAGAACACAAAAAGTCTATTCTTAAATCGGACATTATTTTCTGAACAACCTTATACTTATCTGAATAGTACAGTATGAAACATTTTTAAGCTAAAATAGCAAACGAGGCCGATTGAAGGGAAGAAGAGAAACTCATGCATTTCCTAAGAGCATTAGGACAAACTGAATTCAACAACCTCTGACAAAATTTTAGGTTTTCTTGCAGATTTCATTTTTTGCTCTGATGACCATTTATGCCCACTAGCACATCTACCTTTCATTATTCAATAAAAAAAAAAAGACTTTATTAAAGTTATGTACATATTGTAAATTTAAATTAAGGAACTCTGACAAGTTAGTAGTTAGCATTTGTGTTATGATTTGACATTACTTAAGATAAATAATAGACTATTCTGTTTTGATAGCAAGGAAAGATGAAAGAAAAGGATATATCACAGACTGGTTTTATTAAAAAAAGGATAAGAGAAGGAAAAAAGAAAGGGGAAACAGAAGAGGTAACAATGGCCTCATGCTTTTAAATGTTTAACATGCTTCAGTGAAATAAAAAAATCTTGTCAATCTTGAATCTTCATTTATACCCTCTTACTTTAAATAATGACCTGCATTCATACTTAAGATTGTTATTGCAATATTTTGTTAAAGTGTAGAATTTCAATGGGTATTTTATTACCAGGTAACTTGCAAAGAGCTTATTCAATCATTATTACTACTATTCATTATTTCATCAGATGAAAAGAAGTTGTGATATATAACAAAAAAAAAAAAAATGTATTTATGAATATATCTATAAAATAAATTTTTGCTTATTTTTTTCTTACTTTAAAAACAAAATGCTATAATATTAAAACAGAACATTGTGCTTACCAAGACAATGTCAACCACTTTTTTCACCAAACCCTGTTCCACCTATTTATGATTCTACAACATCTGTTTAGAGTGTTTTTCTAATTCTCCTTCAGAACACGCAATGCACAATTTTCAGTATATACTAAGCCAATTGTTGGCAACACAACAGAAAAAAAAATTATTTTCAGAATTGGCAACTAAATGTATGATTAACCATTTTGGACATGGCAATGGTCTTGCATGTGTCCTCAGGGGAAACCTACTTGAGCAGACAATTAATAGAAATAAGATTGAACTTATATCTAAAAGTTAATAAGCGGTGCTGAAAAGTTCTCGGCCCAACCCATTATCCAAAGCTGACCAAATGATTAAACATAAGAAATTTTTCACATTATGAAGAATATTGAACTCATCTTTATTACAGAGAAACCTGGATATAAGAGAGATTTTCTCTGGTCCCAAATTAGAGCCTGTGTTAATGTATACATATAGACCAAACCCAGATATAAGAGACTTCTTCTCCAGTCCCGACAACTCTCTTATATCCGGGTGACACTGTATAATGATTTTTCACCTGTTGTATCCTCCAGCCTTCATCAGGTGTTTGTCAAACCAGGTAACTAATCTATGGGGATAGATTGTCCTTGTTCCACTAGCCATGTCTAAAGATCTTAGTGCTGCTAAGTTATTCAGAGTGAAATCAGAATTTTGTTAATTTCATCTTGGTCAAACCAAAAACATTTTAGCACCTCCTGAATTCACTTTGAGAGATGAAGACAAATGAAGTTTATATTACCAGAGGTAAGAATAATAAAATTAAGCAGAGTCTATCTATTTAATATGCAGAAGTTTTACATGCTAAACAGATAAATTCCTAAAGAATTTAAAACCATTCAATACATTTTGCTTTTTTGTAGAAACTGAGTTCCTTATAAAATAAGATAAAAAATTCTCCACAGATTTAGTTGAATCAGAAAAATTACACAAATGAATGCCAAAAACAGAGTAACATGGATCAACAGAAAATTCTCATCTATGTTACAAAATGTTCCAGTTATCTGAAAACTAGAATATTTTTTTTTATTAAGAATACTTTGATAATGAGAAAGAAGAAAAAAAAAAAAATGGACGAATGCAAGATAATACATTGTTTGGTTCATGCACTTCCCTGGTTTTTTGAAAAGAAGTAGAAGTTTATCCCCTGTTTCTTGTTTAGGATTGGGATTCTGGTTCCTTCTAAAATCTTCTCATTTACTTTCACTTTCAGTAACCCCTTGCATGTTAATGGCTTGGAATGAAATGATTTAAAAAAAAAAAAAAAAAAAAAAAAAAAATACACAGTAGTGGATGTGTGGTCAGTATAATGATTATTGACAGAGAAAGTGAAGTTAGAAAGATATATTCTAATTCTAAGGGAGTTTTATGTCCACTTTCACCCTAATGCTCTTATGGAAAACATGAATCCTCAGCTATGGGTAAAATAGTAGGCTGGACTGAACTCTCTAGCCTGTCTAAGAGAAGGACAACTTTGTATTCAAAACCATAGAGAAGGCAATAGAAAGCCAGTTCACTCTCTTTCCCAAGAAGTTAGGGTCATTCACTGATAATAAAGGAAAGGGAATCTGAGAGAACCATTATCACCTATATGCTGAATGAACATGTCATTAAAAAAAATTTTAAACTAAAATTACTCACCTTAAGTAAAGTTTTTAACAGCATGTTTTGTAGTTGTATATCAATTGGCGGGGTTCTAATAAAAGAAACAGCCAATGATAAGATAAGGTCCTCAAATCAAAACAATAATAATAAAGCAAGAACAAACATTCAAAAACAAATTACAAAACTTAAAGTCCAGTTAATGAGTTACATTTTTTTTTTTATTAAGCTTTGATAATTCTAAAATCTATTTCATAATGGTGATATTAGTCTCTAGAGTAATTATTCAAATCATAGTCTATCATGTAATAAAGGCTACATTCTTAACAATTAATATTATTTAATGATTAGTTTACTACTTCAGTCATGAAGGAGATAAATTACAGAAAATAAAATTGTTAGATAACTCAAAGGTTTTTTAACATTTTTTTTAATTATTTTAATCTGTTTCCAATAAAAACTTTCTAAAATGTAGAATATTTAGAATTTTCACTCCCAGTAGCTCCCCTTGTGTCTTAGTGGCATTGTCACCTTGCTTGAAATGAATGGATTTAAAAAAAAAAAAAAAATTCCAACACGTGAATCAAGAATATTTGATTTATCCTCATGTTCTTATTATCAGTCTAGAAACTATTTCCTATTAATATTTTAACGAGCAGACCAGTTTATTAATTCATTGCATAGCAAAACATTTTTACCAATAGCATCTCTTTATTTAATGAAATTATTTTCATAATATAACTTCTTAGCTTTGATGAAGAACTACTTTAAAATGAAAAAAAGGTGTGCAGGATGAATTAACAATTACTTTTCTTTAATGATTAACAACTTTCACTAACCAGTTTGTCATACAAAGACTTAAAATTATATGCTCCAAAACTAATGCTTCCCATTATGTTGGCTTATGATATCAGAAGATTGTAGTGGTGGTAATGGTTTAGCAATAGGGAATTAACATTCCCAACAATAACCATATTTCTTTTTCTTGTTACAAACAGCATTCTGGCTAAATAGAATGACATAAAAATGTACATAAAGCAGATTGGATACATTGCATTACATGCAGAAAAAAAAACTGCACCCAGTAACATTTATAGATGTTTGCTGAATGTTTACAGAGACTAAACAGTGGGTATGAGCACTGTTAGATGGTGCATAACGAGTTCCAATAATAGCAACAGCAACATGTGCAACAAATCATGTTACAAGTGGCTTTACAAAGGTGTCAAGTTACAAAAGGAAGAGCAGCCTTCTCTATCTAACAGTGTTGTTGTGTTCTTTATCTGTTTTCATGGAAATCATGACATTACTTTTGGAGCGCCCCTTACCAATAAGGATTTCTAAGATATTTCATTTTTAGCTCAAACAAAAAACAATATCACCATACAGCAACAGCCTTGAAAATTTCAAATCATGAATAATGGAAGTTGATTCTTTTGTAATATAATGATTCTGAAGAAGGTAATATAAATTTTTGAATATATGAAAGATAACAGCCTCAATGCCATCAAACCCAGGTAGAAGCTTAGTACATGTGAACTAGACATGCTAAATGACCTAGAAATACAAAACTATCAATCAATAGTACTCTGTTGATGAAATAGTGTTCATTAAGTGATAGGAAAGTTGTAAAAGAGATTAGCAGAAATCCAATTCTATACATGCATTAATTTTCATTCTAAGAGACTTATCAAATACAATATAAGCTCTTTTAAAAATGGAACCAATGTAAAAAAAAAAAAAAAAAAAATAATTGTGATCTGATCAGGGGTTGTATATTAGTTGGATATTTTATACTTTATATTGCCTGATTTCAGTAGTGACTTAAGAAAATATCAGTCTCCATACTTTAAAAAATGTTATTCCTTAAAATATATATTATTTTAAATAGGAAATATTGCAGAATATTTAAAAACAAAATAAACTATTATTTTAAACCTGGAGCATTATTAAATTTTAAAATTAATTTGCACAGCATTCTACAATTTTTGTTTCAGATATTCTAAATCTAAAAAAAATTCACTAATTGTCAATTTTTTTAAAAAAAACAAAGTGGAAAATTTATCTTGAACAATTAGTTAATTAAGGCCCATCATAAAACCTGGTATTAACTTCAAAAATTAAAATAAAAATCTAGCATTAATTATTGGTCTCTAAAAAAGTTTGGTATTACTTATACACTTATAAAAAAATCTGGTATTATAGGTTTCTACCAATAATTTATTAATGTCTACTGGGCAATGTTTAACCATTGTACCCACAAAAAACAGTGCATCAAAAAGATGGTTATTTCTTTGATGCAGCAATTACTGTAAATTCCTTTCACTCTCTTAGCAATGTTCATTGTCTTAAAAAGCGATGATTAGAATTTTAATAAAATCCCAAACTATGAAAGTGAATTTATACATTTTCTTTATTCTTGAGAATTGACAACAAAGATATTTATTTATTAGATTGCTTATTTACAAGAATCATTTTATATTTACATTACTATAAAAAAAATTAAACCAATTTATAAAGAAAATATGAAAAGAATTTTTTTTATTGATAAATTTATAAAAATGTCTGAAGAAGAAAATTTAAATAAACCCATAACAATGTATAACTGTAATTGTAAATTTTGAAAAAATGCATTTTCCAGGAATTTCTTTCATTGTCACATAAATTCATTAAAATCATTTTCATAGTTATTTATAAAATGGTAAATAATAAATATTGCATTGTACTTGGTTCACATATTTTTTTGTAATTTCTTTTATAAATTTTTGAATAAAAAGATTTCTTTTCAAATTCATTTCTTTATAAAAGGTAAATAATAAATATCGGATTGTACTTGGTTCACATATTTTTATAATTTTGTAAAGAAACATTGTCAAGGGAGTCAAAAGTGTAATAGTAGTGTCAAGGGAATAACTATCCTTTTGACATCCTATATTTTTTTAAAGGTATAAAAGTTAAACCTTGCTACCCACTGTCCCAAAAATGTGATAGTGAACATTTTTTATAGATGGGTGGGGACTCATAGTCAATCTACTGTGATGATGTATGGGTTTGAGTTGTTCTCTGATATAATGTTGAGAGCTAAGTTTATTGCATTTAATCCAGCATTAAATACAGATGCTTCTTTCACCAGATGTTTTTTTTTTTTTATAATTTGTATTTTTTTGAAGTGGCTGCAAATCCAGTTCTGTTTATTGGAACCATCTGAATAAGTTTCAGTGTAATTGGGATAACAGTTTGATAGTGTCAAATTCTTCTTTGCATATGGTTGGTTCTTAGGACTTTTTTTTGAGATTGGGAATTGTCCTGTTTCTGTCTTGCCATCTTCTAAGGTATCTGTTAAGTTTATAGTCAATATTTGTTTAGTCTATGTTCTGTTCTGTGAATTCTTTTGCTCCTGACCAACCATACAGTCTTGTCTATTGGTTGATATTTCTCTTGTTTGGAAAAAGGGGTAGATATTTTTTATCAAGTCACTGTGTCTGTCTCTTGGTATATTTGTAAGGGTCCATCATGTAATTTTATTTTAAAGCTTTATTAACTGTACTTGCCACCCACCATGAAGTGCAACAAAGGGACATGACCAAGGGGGGAAACCCATTCACCTTGGCACAACAGAGCTACATGATATGATCATTTCAAAAGAGTGCTTGAGGCATGTGTATATCCTAAGTTTCAATACCAAAATATGTACTTGCTCAGTGGACTATTCAGTTTTCTCAAAGTATTTTGATTCTCGATACAAATGCTCCTAAAGCCACCACATTTTGAGTCAGGTCCAAGTTGACATTAACCACAGCTGATTTTTTTGTAAAAGAGAGCAGTGTTGTAGAAAGATTTTAACCTAGCTCAGGGCTCGACATGACCAGCCAGTTGATTGGATTGACGCTCTCCATTCAAGCCAGCTTAAATGATGTGGTGAAATTTAGGAATTTATATATTGCCAGATTCCTAAAGTACTTAACCAATAGAATCCCATTCTCAGATATTAGAGGTTGCCACCCACAGCAAACAGTTGGCTGTAGTGGTGGTGGGGTCTTACACCTCAGCAACAAGTCTCCTTCCACACGTCTATACCTACCCAATTAGACTTCACTAATTAGTTATGTCAATTACATTCATTTATCTGATACAATTATTATAATAAAAACATAAGAGTTCTTAACTTTTGCATTAAAATACTTTTTTTTCATTAAGGTATAATTTGTAATTTCTGTTTTATTTCAAACTTTCTTCCCACTGCTAAAACTGCAATATAAAAATCAAACACTATACAACTATAAGGGAAAACATTGGCTTTTAACCCTATTAACCAACAGTAATATCAATGTGATTGTTGTCTTAAACAGTCCTTCGTTATCAGATTCTGTAATTTATGTTCAGATGGACAGCAGATCAAATTTACTGAGTGTAATAATCTAAAGACTTATGACAATGTCATCAGTACACAATCCAAATATATTTTCATTTGTCTCACTGTTTCTTTTCACTTAATAACATTAGAAAAGATTATGAGTTTATTTATATACAGGAGATATAAGATTAAAACAAAAATAAAGTTTAGTTTATCAATTAAACCCAAAATGATATCAAAGTGGATTAAGAAATAAATTTTCTCTTCAACATATTACACTGCATTCTGCTACTTACCAACAATTCCAGAAATAACTGGCAAATAAATGTTATTGCAAAAAACAGAAATAAAAAAGATGATTTTATTGTTTCATTATAGAAATGATTCTAAATTTTGAACAAAACCAAGAAAGCCAGATTTAAGGTTTCTCCAAGAATGTAATTGGTCAACGGTATTTATGAATTGAAATTATGGATTTAATTTTTTTTTTAAAAATCATTAAAAGAAAATAGAGAAAGAAAGAAAATCTACATAAATGTAACATATTTTATTATTTACTTTATATCCAGAAATTTTTGGAAGTCCAAATTTTTCTGATACGGCTAAATTAAATGGAAAAACAATTTATATTTTCTTACTTGTTCTTTATTTAATCAAGAGGTATTTTTTAAAATTTCTTACAAATTTTCAGAAATTGTCAACAAATACCATTACACTGTTATAAGAGGAGGAAGCATAACATAATTTTCAAATTATAAAAATAAAATAATTTTTAAAATGTTAAGAGTTTAAAAGCATCACAAGCAATTTTTAATAGTTCTATACAATGCTAAATAGAAAAACAGACACAGAAAGGCACTATTTTTCACTGCTAAAAATCAGAAACACTAAAATGGTAAATATATTTATAACTTACCCATAATCTTCACTACTTGTCTTTTGTGGTAATTTTCCAAGCACAAACATCATTGTATCAATTTTTTGATAGTCTGGAAGATTATTTGCAAATTCACCTACAAGAAACAAAAAAAAAAAAAAAGAAAGAAATTAAAAAAAGAAGTTTGTTATTGATAAAAATAAATTTGTATTCTGAAAATTATTAAACATTGGCACTTAAAATGATTATTTGGTTACTTATTTTAGTTCATTTTACTTACAATTATTGTTATGTGATGCAAACAATAGTCAGTGCATTATTTAAACAAATTAGCCATAAATAATCAACAATAACTTTTTATAACTGTCATATATTATTGCCAAGTAAGACCATTTTTACATAAGTAGCAAAGTAATCATTTTAAGTAATGTGGTTCATCGAAATAAGTGCAGCATAATTTGCATAATTTGCTGCATTAAACATTAAACATCGTTATCTTCTAAATTCCTGTTTTTATTGTTCTCTCAATGTTTTTCTTTTTCTCATATTCTTTCACACTCAGTAAACACTTGCATCTTAGTGGCTTTATTGCCTTGCTTGGAGTGAAATTATTAAAAAAAAAAAAAAGTAAGCAATATACACACCAATAGTATTGATAATAACTTCCTGGAATTTTCTTTCCATGGCCATCTTTTCAGCTTCTTGGTACTTGGAATCAACAGACACTCGTAGATGCCGAAGAAGAGTATCAAATACTTCTAAGACTGAAGGACCTGTTCAAAAGAGAAAGAGAAAATTTATCAATATTAACATTTTTTCAAGAAACATAATCTGGTTTTCTTTAGGCATGTTGACAACTAAGAGTCAGGATGTAACCAAGGAACATTGTTTTAGGGTTTCCTAAGACCTTGCAAATAAATTCTTACCCACATCCTCATTTAAAGTCTATATTATTTAGTAACTATTTCATACATATATGTATATATATATATGACTAAATATTAGAAATATATCATGTCCATATAGACATCTGTAATTCAAACAAATGATATTGTCAGAGACAAAACTCAATGATTAAATTCTGTGCTTTGGACAGAAAAAGAATATAAAAGTGTTTTTAAATAATTTAAAAACTGCAAAAAGAAATTTTTAAGAATATTTACTTTAATAAATAATGTTAAATACCTTTCAAATCAACTACTAATCCAATATGTCTGCTTCCTTTAAGGCCATCTGGTGTTTTGACATTGGAACCACTTTGCACCCTGAACAATCCATATATTAACACTTATTGTAGCAGTCTTTTAATTCTTGTATTTTACTATAATCTCTATTAATAGCAGTTTGTAGCCATTTTATGGATACACCTCTCTTGATGAAGCAGTCTGCAAGTTGCCGGGGAAATATCCACACAAGAAATATTGGTTATCAATTTCCTTTTTAGCATATCTCACAGACCAGCAATTCTTAGCCTTCTGTCTTTGACAGTTAGAAATGAATATAGAACATCTACCAAGCTCTTCAATTCTAACAGAAGAATAGTGTGATATCTTCTGAATGGTAAACTGTACATTCAAGTAATGACATTGTCTGAGTAGATATGGTTTTGACAGACCATTAGATTTTTTGAGTTCCGCACGCAGCCAATCCAACAACACTGATTTTTATCTTTTATCATTAAAGCCCCTTTACAATATACATGAGGAAGATTAACAAAAGAAACACCTGAGTCAGATACAAGTCATCTATGCAGTCTTGTAGAGGATGACTTATTTTTCCACTCTGCAGCTTTTTTTTCCTAAAGACAACATCACAATCTTATCACTATAGCAGATGTCCAGATGAACTCTAATTTTTAGTTCCACCAGTTCAGACCTTTATACTTCAAGATTCCCCATACTATTTCCTTTGTATTCCAATTGTAAAGAGGAAATTCCATTCAGACAGATTTTTTTTCCCCAGGAAACTGCTACTTCCCATGATGATGCTTCCTTGAACACTACAATCTTAACCTCTTCAAGCACTTCCCTGAGTGGGTATAAAGCCTTGAATTGGATAAACTTCATAAAAAAAAAAAATGTATTCTATTGACTGGAGCTTAAGGAAGAATCAATTTAATCTTATTAGTCAAAAAGTTTAATAAACTTATTCAATTTTAATAAATCAGTAACAGTTCCTTTGTTGTAAAATTTTATATATATTAGTTGGTTCACAGAGTCGTGCAAGATAATTTTTCTCTCCAGAATCTATCTTACATCTCTATAAGTCTACTAGTCACCCATGCTTACAATATTGCTGACACATATGGTTCAGTGCTCTTGCTATTTAGAGATTCTTGATAAAAATATCCAAAGGAGAATCAGCAATATTGTTATGACCTGGCATCTCAGATTTCAGACACTTTCCCATTACTGTAAAGTTGCTTCCCTCTGCCTTTTCTATAAATAGTTTCATGGTAATTGTTAGGCTGAGTTCTTTGCTAAGTTACATAGACTTTATGAAAAGTGCTAGCTTGGCAACAAGGTCTCATTAACTTGCAGTTGAATTGGCTAGATGTAAGCATAAGTTCTTTCCTAACAGTTTCTTTTCTTGCACTTCTTGCTTGTGGAACCATTCTGGCTCCATGCTTTCCACCCAATTTTGATCTTCAAAAATTTAAATGCAATGTCAATCACTATCTACTGTCTTTCTGATTACTCTTTTATTGTTCTCACTCCTTCATAATATTTTGTTTTCTAATTCTTTCACACTGAGTAACCCCTTGTGTCTTAGTGGCTTTACCGCCTTGTTTGGTATAAATTTGATTAATTTTATATATATATATATATATATATATATATATATATATATAAATAGCTCCATCTGATGATTGTTGCTACATGAAACTGAGTGGCAGATTTTGGTATTGATGATTATATATATATATATATATATATATATATATATATATAGGCAACATCAGACCCAGCATGAGTAGCTATCCAAAACAGCTGACCAAACAATGTTTGGTAAGCAACTTTTTCAAATCCAAAGAGTTCACTGGCCTACTGAATATCTAGAGCAGGTCAATTTTAGAACCATGGCAGCAATCAATTTGAAAGTTAGGGTTTGATATAAATAAAGATACAAAATATTTTTTCTGCCAAATTGTTACCATTTTTTAAGGAAACAAGTTTAAAGATTAAATTTAGGTTCAAAATCGTAGCATTAGAATTTCATTCCAGTGAAAGCCTTACACAGATTTTACTTATCAAATACAGTAAAAAAAAAAATTGCATATTTTGCTTGTGATTCATAATTAGAATTCTGGTTTGAATATATTTTTCATTCAATGTATTTAATACAAAAAATATCAACTTCATTTGGATTTATTCTTGAAATAGTAAAATTTTGAAGTCAGTTTTCTAAAATTAGGTATTTCTGTACATTTTTCAGATGATCTTTAAAACTAAATACTTGAAAATTGGTAAAAGCTATGAATTTTTGGTGTCAGTATTTATCACATCAAACCCCAGCTTTCACATAGAGTGCAATGTTGATTTACTAAAAAAAAAAAAGTGAAAAAAAAAAAAAAAAAAAAAAAACTCTACCCGCCATACTGATAACAGTAGATAATGATGATGCCTATCAAGTTATGTCATTTCAGGTTGAAATCAAGTTAAGACCAATAAAACTTAGATGCAGAACATTCAGTAAAAAACATACTCCCCAATTTATCAATAATGTTTTTAATACACCATTACCAGCCAAGAGTCCTCAATATAAACTCCAATAATCCTTTCAAAGTCACCATTTGAAGCAAAAAATGATCAACAACAAAAATTCTAATGGATAATGAGAAATTCATCTAAAAAAACTATATGAAGATCTCAAAAATAATGCCATACTTGATTTTATTACCTTATACAGCCTTGACATCCAGTGTGACAAACATATTCATTAGATAAAGTTAGGTAAAGCATGAAGCAAACTGCTTCTTTTGAACATGTTGATGAATCTTTCAATAAATTGAGCATGTCTTCCTCAAACCCACAAGCTACCAGTTCATCTTTAATAACATCTTTACCATTCCTTATCTTGTCAGTAATTACCAATCTCAAAGACCTAACATTTTGACCTTGATCTTCAATTTCAATGTAGATACAATTCTTCTTCCATTTCTCATTTCACTTTTCTTTGCAGCCATAATTTCATCACTATTAAATGCCACAATCATCATTAACTTTACTGTAATCAATTCAAGCAATCTTTCCAGCAATATTTAATATTATAACAGTGTTTATATTTGCCAGTAACTTTGACAGCTCTATTCAGTATTCAGAAATATATTCACCAGCATCAAAGTTGATTCCTTGAAAAACATCCATTTTGTCATTTATTTTTTCTTCAACAATTCCAGATGATAATCTCATTCCTTCTCGTCTTCTATTACTTTACTCTAATTACATTATCTTTGCCATCATTAATGCCGCCATAATCCAGATCAATACAATCTTCATCTTCAGGAAAAGGGTCAGGATTATTATTCTTGATCATGTACTTGTCAATTACTCCCTTTGCATTTGTGATATCAATTTGAATGAATGTGAACAGATACCCACCACCCATACTGCACTGATATTTGCCTTCCATCCAATCAACATCTAGCCCATATCATTCATGACTGTCAGTCATCTTCTAAAATATTTCATATCCAATTATACAAATGAACATTGTCAATATTACTACTTTGTGCTCTGGATTCTCTCACCAAACTTAAATTCATGAAGAACCAAATGCCACACATGCCAATTCCATTTTTCTTTTTCTTTCTTTTTTAGAATAAGGTTCACCCTGTACAAAGCCCGGAGGGGGATCACTCAAGGTAGAGGGTTATGATAATGAATAGTTTATATGGATATGAGGGGGAAGATAATGGTTGACTCTAGACTTGGACAGGTTAAGATTGTAATGATCAGGGAGGAAACATCCTCTTGGGAGTCTGTTCCAAAGAGCGATGGTTTGTGGGAAGAAGCTGTTAACTTAATTCTTGCTGATGGAACATGGAGAGAAGGTGGGTGGTTTGCAACTATGTAAGTGGCATGGCGGATCTTAGCCGTGAAGGTCAGACCTGATGGAACCAGGAGATGTAGTTCATCCAAGCACTTTCCATGGTAGTAGCAATAGAGCAGTGAGAGACTCCTGCCCAAAAATGGCAAAAGTACTCCATTTTCAGCCTGATCTGGCTCTTGTAAATATAGAGAATAGCATGATGAGTCAGGTATTTACTGAAGCGGTACAGGGAGACAATCAATTTACCTGCATCTTTAGCAATGGATCGTATATAGGAATTCCAATTGAGGTCAGAAGACTCCTCGAGTGAATGCAGTTATGTATTCCAATAATTGAGGATCACTATTAAAAGTATCTGGAACAGTCTTATTAAAGCCAAAAACTAATTTTCAGCAAACTGCAAGCAGGTAGAATTCAAGTCAGAAGTACCTCCAAATAACCCTGAGCATATTGTTTAATGAGTCACTACGACTTCTATGTGCCATGTCTCTTCAGAACATTGGCAATCATGGCTCTCCACAATTTCCCATCCTTTATAGCTCTTAATAACTCATCTTTTTGCCATCTCTTCCAAACCCTGCTCTACCATCCATTCACTCAAGCTCATCAAATGGGTTGTTAGTTGGTTACCTCTGTTCCTGTTACCTTCAATCTGTCCTATGAGTATTAAATTTTCCATGCCCTTTTTCCTCATTATATGCCCCAGATGTTAAGTACAAGTGTCCTTTTTGTTGTTATTGTCTCTAGAATTGTCATTGCTCACAGGTTTGGTCCATGGTATTCTCAGCATCCTCCTGTAGAACCACATTTCTGTCTCTTCTTCATTTATGATTGTCCAGCATTCACTGCCATATAAGAGGACTGATGCTACATAACAGTTCAGTACGCTTTTCTTTGTTTCTAACTATATTTTTCTGTAATAACTATTAATTTTTTTCACATACTCTATCCAAGAACTTTCTGCATTTGCTGTTTTTTTTTCAAATTAAATTTCATTGTTGTCAAATTTACAACCATTGTAAGAAGTTTTTGGGAGCACAAAGATTGTTATAAAAAAAAAAAAATCCTTTAATAATAGAAACCAGTTTGTTATTCATCACAATTGCTGAACAAAAATAAGTTGCTCGATACACAATCCCAAAAGAGTAATTTTTTCCATCATTTCTGATCCAAAGGCAGTTTTGTTAAATTTAGTCACCATAAGTAGTCTGGCAACAAGACTATCAAATAGGGTGGGAGCTCTTAAATTTAACATTTCATATTAACCAGTAAAGAATTAACTTCAAACTCTCTATTCTGTATACAAATCAAATTAATAAGCTTTATGGAATTATGGTAACCATTTATACAATTTACTGGCATTATTTTGAGCATCACTGATTTTCAAGGACAATATAATTACTGAAAATGTTATCTAATTGTAAATGGAGAAGGAAGAAAAATGACCTTAAGTAGTCGATTGCAGCTTAATCTTTTCTGCATACAGAGCATCATTATCAAAATACAAAAATCATTTTCCATTTTTTTTCATAGATTTCTCATTTCAAAGCAAAGCTACACTAGATTTGACAGCATCAGTAATCATATTAGTCCTCATATCTTCAATCCAACAAAGAATCGTTTTCTTTTTTCTTGATACTGCGATAAGACCAGCAAAGATGAGTGTCAAAGGAGAGGACTGTTACATAACAAAATATTCTTCATAAACATTTCAGGAATTTAGTCCTGAAGTCATCTCATTCTACATACAATACCCAAAACATCTTTTTTGCATCCTCTCAAAGACAGCAATTTTATGTTAATGTTCATTAGCATAGTCTATAAACAAAGGCAACAGAACATTTTCTGATGTATCACCTCCTTCCATAGTCTGCACATTGTTTTCAGATACATGAGCATATGACATTTATAAGCCCAATGAAGCTTTCAGTCACAGATAATGCACTTCAATGGAATGAAGAGAAAAGGGAGACAAGTAAGGTCCAATAGACAAGGAATAAAATGTGTTGACAACAAGCAGCGGAAAATATCAATTTTATATATTTAGATATTAGAAACACAAAGTCAATTTAAAAAAATATATATTTATATATTAGAAATAAAATCAGTCTTTTCCTTTCCCAAAAAGGAGGAAACATTATAATGTGATAGCTTTATTTTAAGGAAATAAAAAAAAAATTTTAAAAAAAAAGCAGAATATTTACATAAACTTTATTTAAACAGTATAAATATTCAAAGTTTACACTTACAGTGTTTCAACTGGTAAAAACCAGTAATTTTATGTTCACACTTCCATATATGAAAATACAGTAAGTTATTTAAAATACTGTGGGTATGAACATCAAATTTTGATGAACGTCACAGTTAAATTTACCCTTTGTAGAAATGATCATGCAAATAAACAAAAACATATTTCAATACACTTCTAAAATACATTGTGAATTTTCTATTGTTTTCCTGTAAAGGTTTTAACAGTAATAATTTGCTAAAAATAATTGTAGAATGTGTGTAAAAAATATAAATACACACAAATTTCATGATGCCTGGCTTAAATGCATCAGTTTTACTGGTAGTAAATTGCTTTCAAGTAAAAAGAATTTTGACAAACATACTTTACTGCAGAAAGCAGAAAAATGTGTTAATCAGACAAAAAGTTATTTTAAATCAGACCAGTTATATTGGAAAAGAAACCAATACATACACTTATGGTCATATATAAGATCTTTTTTTTCCTTTTTTTTTTTTTTAAATGTCTAAGCATAAAAAACAAAATACATAGAAAAGACAGCTACGTCAGCATGTTTGCAAACATACCCGTAAGCCATTGCAAGAAGAGTTGAAAGTCGAGCTGTGATATTAATTCATTAGCACAGTCTGACTGGTAATCGAAAGAGTCGAACAAGCTGTTATTATCATCGAAAAAATCTGACATGCAACATTCAGAAAGGTAATGGTCATCCATCAGACAAGGAAGTAGAGAAGCTGGTGTCCAGCAAGAGGACGGCACCGGGCAGTCCATCATGGTTTTGCTACATTAAGGCACCAAGGGCGATCGAAAACATCCCATGAACTGAAGACAAGTGTGAATAAACAAAAAGAAGAAAGGCAGACAAATAGTGAAAGAGAAAGAAAGAAAGAAAGAAAGAAAATCTGGTGTGTGTGTGTGTGTGTGTGTGTGTGTGTGAAAGAGAAAGAAAGAAAGAAAGGAAGAGAAATAGGTAGAAAAGAGAGTGAGTCATGTACTTACCTACAGAGCCTCCTGCTGCAATAAGTACTGTCTGAAAGAGCACGTCAATGATGCTTGCTTTAATCATAGGGTCACTTTTCAGGTGGTTGTCCAAATGACTCATCAACATCTGAAGGACCAGGTAACTATATTTGGCCTGCAAAACAAAAGATTGTTAACTAATGACAATTGACAGAGTAAAGTTAAGCTTGTGCAACAAGTCTACTTAGAAAGAAGAGAAATGTTTATAGCCAACCAAACATTACACTATTTGATAAAATCAATTATGCCTTTGAAAATTTATTGTAAGGTAGCATAGGAAGTATTTAACTGCTGTGTTTGGCAGCATACAAGACACTATGCACTGCCTTCAATGTCAGGATTTTTATTTTAAATTGCTTAAGAAACAAAAAGAAAATGAAAAGCCCTTCATCCCATATATATATATATATATATATATATATATATATATATATATATATATGTGTGTGTGTGTATATATATATATATATATATATATATATATATATATATGTGTGTTTTTATATATATATATGTGTGTGTGTTTATATATATATATATATATATATATATATATATATATATACACACACACACACACACTACCTGAATTACTCATGCCTTGCTGCATGTCACACCTTTTTTTTTGTAAGAAAATGATGATTCATTTTAAATCATTAACATAATTTGTGGAGATAAATGATACATTTCAATATTACTCAATGATCTTACCGATACGACCATCATCTTATGGCTTTCTCCCTCTATATTTTGGATAGGAGTCATTCCCTTGTTCAAATTTAAATTTAATTTAAATCAAAGTGAAAAAATTCTCAGCGGGAGGGTTGTGCCAAAATTGATGATTAACTCCACATTATTTCACTTCATATAGTTAAAATACACTAATAAATCCTATTTTTAATATACACTTAAATGATGTTAACATGTTAAGAATTGTATAAGCACAGATGCTGTGTGATACACATGCAATGTCTACACAGCCAAGGAAAACAAAACAACATAAGATTTGAAAACTGAGACTCACATTCCACCTGCAAAAGTGTCAATTGTGAAACATGTTAAATTTATAAAAATTTCCCAAGTTATTCTTTAATTGTAATATATATATATATATATATATATATATATATATATATATATATATATATATAGAGAGAGAGAGAGAGGGGGGGTTGATGAGTAAATTGTCACCATTTTATATTTTTAATTTCATGCATGCACATTGTTTTTGATTTTGCCAACTGCACAGTATAGTAGGGTCAGTTGGGCACCATCTGTGAGGAAAAGAGCACCATAATGCAACTCACTCCACCAGAAATTTGGAAATGGCATGCTGTACTGCTTGGGACCCACGTGGTAAGCTCCAATACAAACATTTCAGAGTGTTTGGGGGTAAACCTGAAGACAGTGCAGAGAATTCAGAAAGAGTTGGATGAGTCTAATGGTGATTACAAAGATGTTTTGGAGTGATCACTAATGATGGCGACATTATGCCTCTATTCATGTTCCCACAGGGCCTCAGACTCAACTCAGAGGCCTACAGAAATTGTTTTCAGGAGGTAGTGCTGCCCTGGATCAAGAGGGTGACTGCTGGAAAACCCCATGTCTGGCAACAAGACTCTGCACCATGCCACACAAGCAGGAGAACCCATTCATGGCTGTCAGACAATAGAGACCAACAATACTCCTTGTAACACCAAATAAAATTTAATCTTTAGTATTTCAAGATATTTTTGTGTTACTTTAGTAAATATATCTGTTAAAATAAGATGTCAGTGTTATTTTCATTTTTGCGTAATTTAGACAACAATTTATCTATCGCAGTGCGTATCATTTTAAACGTTATTTTTAGTCAATACTCATATTTGAGTAGGCACCCTGTTTATTTATTAAACAGTATATTTATTTATTTATTTATTTTCACTTACCAGCCTGAATGTTAGAGAAATCTTATTAAAGAAAAACTTGCACCCTTCAGCAGGGCTCAAACCTCCATCTCCCAGGGAAGAGGGAGCCACCATTTACTTCAACACACCTTTCTGCTTGGCCACTTGGAACACATGGTCAGGTGAAGTCAATTTCATGCTTTCAAGTTAAATTTCTCCTGTCATAGATCTCTCAAAGTTTTTCATATCTGCACATTGTTTACATTTGGGTACAAAACTAAGAGAATTTTTAGAATTAATTTTTCTTAATCTGACAGATTTTTATCAGGTTTTTAGTGGATACTAGTCTTTGAGTAGGCACAGTATATATATATATATATATATATATATATATATATATATATATATATGTGTGTGTGTGTGTGTGTGTATATTTATTAATTTTCACTTGAAAGCAAGAAATTGGCTTTGACTGATCGTCTGTTCATTCATGGCAAGGTACGTCAAGCTAAATAGTGGCTCCTACTGCCCTGAGGGATGCAGGTTCGATTCCTGCTGAAGAATGAAACTTTTTCTTTAATAAGATTTCTTGAACATTCAGGCCGGCAGGTGAAAATAAATAAATATACTGTTTAATAAACAGAGCTCAAGTACAAGCATCCACTAAAAATAATGTTTAAAGTGATAAATATCTGTTAGATTAATAAAAAAAAGTCCATTCCAAAAGTGTGTGTGTGTGTGTGTGTGTATATGTTTAGATGTTTCCTGTTTGTTCCTTATCCTATCATTGTCAAATTCTAATCTATATTTGATCACAATTCATTTATGTGTTTGTTGTCTTCCCATCAGTGTCAAGCCTTTTGTGATCAGATGTCCTCAGTGCGACACATAAGAAAAGTGTCAGGTATGTAAGACATAGTTCTAGTGCTTTATTGAATAACATTTGTTAGAAGTGAAGTCACATATTACCTTTCAAAATGTAAATTAGGAAATAATTGTTGTAAATAAATATTGATGTATTTAAAAATTATTTTTAAACATTTTTTTTTTATTTTGTAAACATTTGAGATGGTTGAAAATCAGGACGTAAAGTCCACATCTGAGACATGTGAATAGGGATGGTCCAATTTTGAGCTTTTCATATGCAATAAAACATTCTCCAATAAGGAATGGATAAATGAAGCATTTAAACTGTTTATCACATCGTAAGATTAATTTTTTTTAAAGATCAGGAATTTAGAAGTGCATTGGAGAACAGCCATTCATCAAGATGGTGCCTGTTTTAATTAAATAAATTAGTTATTTAACATTTCAGAAGCATTTTATTCATTTCTCATAAATGCATCTTTTCATGTAACAACTTAATATATAGACAGAAATTACTTTACAAATAATTTAAGGCAAATTATGGTTGAAGTGATTCTCATAAAAAAGTGATTGCTATCTAATTTTAAAGTAATTTTTCTCCAATATGGTTTCTTATTACTGTTATATTTAGTGAATATGTGTTTTAGTAGAAATTTAAAATGAAATTAATGTCAACAAGCTGAGAGATCAAGAAGTCATACTAACGAAAATGTGCCTTTTAACAGGAATTAAATCTTTATTCTTATTTTCTGTCAGGGCAACCACTTTTAAGCCAAGTGAGTCTTACCAATTAGGCTACAAGAAGCCATCATAAAGCTTTGTTAAAAATGCTTTTGTGTGAAGATATTCAATTTTAAGTTTTATAAACAGTTCATTTCAACTTATTTTTTACCATTGAAAATTGACCACTTGAATATACATAAAGTTTTGCAGACTTTCATGAAAGCTACATCAGTATCTTTTTTTAGCTTATCAGAACTTATCTCCTACTATAGACTATTTCATTCACATATATATATATATATATTTTATATACACAAAATCCCTTCAGAAAAAAATAAAATTAAAAAAATAAATAAATCTCCATAGACGCTTAACCAGACTAGACGATGTCATCTTCCGCTTTAAATTTAGACACCCCAACCTTACCCTGACTTGACATCTGTGAATGTAACTGAGATATTGATACAAATTATTAACACCCTACGCTCCTTTTCTTTAAACAATTGCTCTAGCCGTTACCATAGAAATTTTGATTTCAATAATGAATATGTTTATAAAACGCATAAATTTCAGAAATAAGTTATTCCAAAAAAATTTCGCTTGAAGATGGAACAGAGCTTAGTACTTTAATTCAAATAATTATATTGAAGTTTTCGGCTCTTGTTTTGAAACATGAGAACTCTTATGTAGCGTGTTGGAATCATATTTGTAAATAAATAATATATATATATATATATATATATATAAAATGGTGCCTTTAAGTGAAATTCCTCTCATCATAGACTTCAAAATTTTCATGTCTGCTCAGTTTTGTATCCATACTTAAACAAAGCAGTTTTCTCAAATAATTTATTAATCTGACAGATTTTATCACTTTAAACATTCTTTTTAGAGGATACTGTTATTTGAGAGGACACTCTAGGTAAAGGGAACATTTGGTCTAGAGCATGTTGGATCTAATGAGGTTTCCTTCTACTTGAGGAGAGTGCATAGTTTTCTTTAATAAGATTTCTCAAAAATTCAAGCTGGTAGACAAAAATAATATACTGTTTAATAAATAAACAGAACATTTACACAAATATGATTACCCATTAAAAATAATGTTTGAAGTGATAAAATCTATTGGATTAATGAATTGAAATCTATTACTTTAGAAAATTGCTTTTTATACAAATTTGAGCAGATATGAACATTTTGATATATTTTTAAAATTCCTAAATGTTCCCAGATTTGTTTGGGAAATAAAATTCATTTCTTATTTTTTCACTTGTCCTAAGAACTCTTTGAAAGAGCATGAATTAAAAATTCTTAGAAAAATATAAAATAAAAATGTAAAATATGCCAAACTTGTTATAAATATCTTTAATCTTGCTGGAATCATTTTCTTATCATTCTACTAAAAACAAACGTTCTTGTAATTAGCCCAATTGTTTCAGTTAAATACAACTACAAGTTGTCGCTTTGCTTGTTAGTATTAGTCAAATAAGATTCCTACTCGAGACTAATTTTGTGCTAATTTTCACTGTTATTTGAGAACATACATATTTCAATTTAGTTTACAAGTTTGTAAAAAATCAGTTTGATGTACCAGTCATGTTGAATTTCCAGGTTAGCCAAATCAGTAAGTGTTGTCACTTTCGGTGGTATCAAACAATCTTGCATTCTCAGTGTTGGGGATTTTTGTGAGGGTTGAGTTCTCATTATATTGGGGAAGGGATGTCAAAACAAAGGAGGTACTGTGTAGTCTTTGATTAGGCAGTGCCTAGGACATAATTCCTCATCCCAGAAATTCAGACAGATGGTCTCTTGAGAGAGTCGTCATATCTAAGAAAAAAAATTTCAATGGCTACCTTCTCGGGATAATAGATATGTTCAAGAAAAGAATTAGGAATGAAAAACATTGAGTTGTAGATATTGGCTATACATAAAAGACTGTACAGAAGGACTACTTGCTTACTAGTAGGTTTTAAAGGTGTTGATTGTAGTCAGGATCATTAAATCAATGTGAATGATCCTTTTCTTAGCTTCATAATATGTGCTTCAATAGGGCTACATACTGTTTTGGATTCAGGGTTTCTCTTCTCCAAGACCGGTTGCCATCCAAAGCTATAGAACCCTGTCTGTTCTATTATATACTTATAGCTTTTACTCAACAAGTATATACATTTATTTTTAAAAATAATAATTAGCAGAAAGTGAATCATTTTTCATTAGTTTTTTTCAAGCACATGTATATAAAATACCAGCAGTAGAGCCCGGCATTGTCCGGGGATGTAACAGTAAGAGATAGATCAAGTATCGACCATCATAAAGACTGAAATATATAAATTGACAAATATTATTGTTTAAGGTTGACGGACACACATGTCTTAATTTGTTTTGTTTTTTGTTTTGTTTTTTTTTTTTGTTTTTTTTACAAATTGGTCAAACCCAAACTCAAACAAAAACATTGTTTTCAATCGTTATGAGTCTATCAATTGAATAGAATTTTATTAAACAATTGTCTTGTAAATGGAATTTTTAAAGCATTCTGAATGTAAAAATAAAGAAAAAAGTGTGCAAGGCAATAAGAAACACTACCTGCCAAAAAAAAGTGAAGTTTTGTTGAAATCTGTTGAAAAATGTAGGAAATCATATCCAATATATAAATGTACAGACACACACACAATCTGCGTTTTATAATAAGTAAGATATATAATATATAACTAAACACTAATAAAGGGCAACAAACAATTTCTATTCAGCATTTAACTTATTTAAAGCTGATATATTTGTATTACAAGTATAATTCTTTTTTTTTGTGAGTGAATATTGCATTAAATTTTTTGTAAATAATATTTTTTTCCAAATACAGGTCCTGCTATTTAAGCTATAGCTGAGGAAGAGTAGATGGATTCATACCTTTACCAAGGGTATTTGTGCATAAGTGAATGTAATGAACCTGACTGGAATTCAAACTCTGCTCTGATTTCTCGTTCAGAGTTGCTATCCATTGGACCACTCACACATCCATTTAGATGTCAGAAAAATTAAACACTGCACATTTAGAATTTGAAGTCATAGGAATTAATACTTTATACTTACTTGAATTGAATACATAATAATTTTAAAACATTTGACAGCAAAATCATTCGGTACCCACAACTGATGTAAATCTAGATGTCTGTAAAAGATTACAATAAACAAAATCAATACCAAGTATTAATACACAGAACAAAAAAATGTAAAAAGCAAAGAAAATATGAGCAGTTTCTGAAATGTAAGGCAAAGATAGTCATAAATCAACTGGAATTAAAACATTGGGAAAGACAGGAACATTTGCCTTAAATCAAAGATCAGACTTGCGTGCATTGTCTTTCTCAATCTTTTTGTATGTCTGTGAATCTTAACAGCAGAATTGTAAAAACAAATCCAAGCAATAAATGCGAGATGCTACAGAATCATGTTAGGCATCTCCTACATAGACCACATCACAAGCAATGTAGTGTGAGACACTATTAAGAGCCAAGCTTGTTGGTTGATCTCACATCCATTGTTAAGAAATAGAAATGATATGGACATGTCATAAGAGCCAACAATCTTTCTACTGCTATCTGACAAGGTTCTACTTAAGGCAAAAGAAGAAAAGGCAGACAGAGGAAAAAATGGCCTGACAATGTCAGTGTGTGGACTGGTAGATCATTTACAGAGACATAGACATTGTCATGCAATCGAGACACATAGAGGGAGCTGGTCAGGAGCTCAGCAGTGCAGCAACCCAATGGCCACACTCAATCATGACACAGATAATGAAGAAAGATTTAAACAAATCAACAGGGGTATGTCATACTTTATGTAACAGCCAGAACAGACTTAATATTGAATGTATTTATATGTGACATAACAAAGACAACTTCCACCATAAAATAAAAATGAAAGCGGCCAGAACATTTACATAAGAGTGTCTCTCTCTTGCTGAATCACAATTCAAGCCAACACACCAGTGTTATGACTGATTTTTTAATTGTATCTACTACAGACTGAAGGATCTAAATCAGGACTATGGTCTGTTTTGGTCCTTCAAACGACTTTTATCCAAGAAGTAGATCCACACAGATGTTCATGTTGTTGCAGAAGTGCAGATGTGGTTCCAATCACTTGGTGATACATTCTTTGAGACTATTTATGCACTTGTGTATCAATGGAACAATTGCAGCAATCTCAATGGTGACTACATAGAAAAGCAACATAATAATACTAGTAGTATATACACAGTGTTTTATTTGTATAGCAATAAACATGATAGATTACTAAATATTTGTACTTTATTTTCTGAACATCTTACAAATGTTTAGCAGTAAAAAAATAAATAAATAAATAAATAAATAAATCATGCATGATTGTTTCTCCGAATTGTGAGCTATGATGAAAATCAAAAGATAATTTCTTCAAGTAATAATTTTATGCAAGTGATACACATAGAATATTTTATATATATATATATATATATATATATATATATATATATATATAAGAAAAAACCTTTATATGACAGTTCACTGTTTACTGAAAGCAATCTTTTTGCACAAATTGAAATTCTATAGCTAGACAAGTTTGGGCTTGAGGAAACTCAAATGTATTTTTTTTTTTTTTTTTTTTACTGGACTGTTATGTAATACCAGTCATCAGCGAATGCTGAAAAACCTCCTCACAGATGAAGAATAGACTTAAGCATCAAAAGTGTAGTTCTACAGAAGAATGCTGAGAAGACCAAACATGTGAGCAATGATAAAGTTTTTGAGAAAATGGAAACAAAAGGGGCAATTAGACTTAGAATCAGAAAGAGAATTAAAATTTCTAGGATACACAAGGAAAAAGGGCTTGGAAAATTTAACACACACAAGACATGTTGAAGGCAAGAGTGACAGAGGAAAGTACTGTATAACATAACTAATAACATTGTGTAAATAGTTGGCAGAACAGGAATTAGGAGAAATAGTAAAAATACAAACATTGCTAAGAGCTGCAAAAGACAAGATGTTATGGAGAACTATGATTGCCCACATCATTAAAGAACACAACACATAAAAGAAGAAGGAGCCTGTGAAAATGGTTGGCAGAACAAGGATTAGGAGAGATAGCAAAAAGATAAACATTGCTTAGAGATGCAAAGGAAAGGATGCTGTGGAGAGCTATGATTGCCTATGTCCTGAAGGGACACGGCACATAGAAGTATTCAATCGTAAATCAAAATGAACCATTTTAATATATTTAAGATGTTTCCATCTATAATTTCAAACTTCCACTGATCTCAATGGATCTTCATAATTTTATACTCACACTAGAACAGGTTTCAGCACAGATTTAATGCTGCCAAATGATGCACGGCAAACAAGATCTCGGAAAGTGGTCTCAGCTACAGAGAAAGGATGATCATCTTCCTTTGGACTTTCAGGCTCTAATGAATCTGAGCTGTAAAATGAAGTACAGGTTTTGAGACTAGAAAGAAATACAATTTCAACCAATACACACATCAAATAAACTAAAAATCACCAGCGGGTAAAAGACAAAACAGATACAACATTAAATTTTAGAGGTTTTTTTTTTTGGGGGGGTCAGGTTTTGCTCTCAAGAAACTTTCAGCAGAATCTTTAATAATACCAAACTGCAATATTTTATTTTTTTCAAAGCATTTTCAAGTCCTCAAGACTTATGTTTATATATGAGGGTGCCCTGAAAAGTTCAAAGATTGATTATGACAGTCATGTTGAAGCTGTGAAATCTCGCACACATTAATTTCAATTCTTGTTCTTAATAACTGCATTGTTTATTTTCAGGTAGACTGACATCTGACTGTTCAAAGACTTCAGAAGTAACTAGTAACAACTTCTCCTGAAAAATCAACAAAATTTGGCATTGTGGTATTATCAAGTAACTGCAGAAAAAGGGTTTAGCTCCCAAAGACATTTATGCTGACAGACTTCTTACATTAGGGGAAGACACTCCAGCTTTATCAACTGTGTACAAGTGGGCAGCTGAATTTACAAAGAGAATAGTGAGTCTTGATGACCTAATGTGTGGATATCCTGCAACTGTTACCACTAAAGAAAACATTGATTGTGTTCACCACATGCTGATGGATGATAGCAATTGACTATCAATCAAATAACCAATACAATTAGCATATCCTGTGAGAGGGTTAAGAATATTCTGCACAATGAACTTGGCATGACAAAGGTTTCTGCTCAATGGGTTCCACATCTTCTGACACCTGATCAAAAATGCACCAGGTTGATGACATAATGGGAAAACCTGACATAATTTGAAGAAGATCCAGCTGATTCCTTGAATATTTCCTAACCCAGGATGAGTGTTGCTTTCATCACTTTGAGCCAGAGGCAAAGAGACAATCCATGCAGTGGTAATGCTTTTCCTCATCTGCTCCAAATAAGGCCATAATTATTTCATCGCAGGAAAGGCAATGGCCTCAGTTTCGGGGGAGAGGGGGTCAAAAGACAATCTGTTTATCAACTATCTTTGAAAGACCACATCATCGGTAGCAGATACTATGCCAATTTACTGAGGCAGTTACAAAAGTCTATCACAACCAAACAACCAAGCTTTGGCTTTGAACTAGTTGTTTCAACATCTATTGTCCTGATTTGACTATCATCAGTTCCCCAACATGAAAAAGCACTTGGCTGGGAACCAGTAACACAGTGAAGATGTCATATCTGCCTTTGTTGACTTTTTGACGAACAAGACAAACAGTCTTTTTTTAAAAGTTTCCTGGAAATAAACAATGCAGTTATTAAGAAGAAGAATTGAAATTAAGGCCTGCAAGATTTCACAACTCTAGCATTACTCCTTCATAGCCAGCCTATGAACTTTTCAGCCAGCTCTCATACCTGGAAAGAAACAAAGCAGTTATTAAGAGTTGAAATTAAGGCATTCAAGATTTCACTGCTCTAACATCACTTCATAGTCAGCATATGAACTTTTCAGCCCACCCTCAGATATTAACATTTTAGTATAAACAATGAAGTTGAGACATTACACTGTTTAGAAAGAAATAAAACTCATGGAGAATGTCTATCAAAGTTAGCAGATGTTTAGATGTTTACAAGGAACACTTTTCACATAAGTGGAGAACAGGTGCTAATAACATTAAATATCATTTGCCAGTATTAATGCCACTCTTCATAACTATATGAAGTAGGTTTGGGATTTTTCTAGTCTATACGAGAAGCCCAGAATTAAACAAAGTTTAATTGAAATTGAAAGGCTTAAGGGAGTGACTATTACTATAAGCTTTACAACTGTTTCCTTAAACAATCACAAAATCATACTAATTTAGGTCTGGCATCCCACTCAAGATCATAAAGAGAGAAAATAAATAAATATTATATGATCAGAATTCTATCATCAAATCCTGTTGAGGCGATATGATTTTGTTAATCAGTAGATAAAAAACAACATGTTTAATACACTGTGCCCATTAAATATCACTATCACTTGGTGAAAGTTCATTCTAGTACAATTTGAAAACCATATAGTATAGAAATAGAAAAAGGTTATCTACATGGAAAACATTTGCAGGAAAACAAGACTATTGAAAAAAGTCAAGTTTGAGTTAAAGTAAGGAGAATGGAACCAATTTCTCAAGAAAAAAATAAAAATATATCACCAAATAAAATCATTGAGGACAATGCTGAGAACAACAATAAAGAAAATAAAAAAGAATAAACATTTTGTTAACAATATGGACTACTTTTGCAAAGATTTTTTTTATTGCATAGGCAAGAAAAAAATGGCAGAGATAACACATCCAGAAATGAAAATTTCTCAAAAAACATGTAATAAAAATTCTTGGTTGTAAAATTCATTTGGTTACTTTTTTGTTTTTTTTTTACTTATATGCAGCAAATTACAAAAATTCCAACTGTAAATGTACATGTTGAAAACAATGATTTTCAATAAAATACAATTCCATTAAATTATGTTAACATTATTAATACAAATAAATATTTGTTGAAAAGAAGGAAGACACAAAAAAATTGTTACAATTCATAACACTTAAAATGCGCAGAAACATCTGGCACTCTTCCAGAATGTCCTAAAAACATGGAGAAAAAGAGTGTGTGTGAGCAGAACTGCATTGATAAGTATAACATTAGAAAAGCTAATCTTCAGGAAAGAAAAACTGGGGATGTAAGACTGACTGTTCTAACAGACAACAACAAAAGCAGATGTTTTCATTCCAAATGAAAGAGCAGTAGGAAAAAATTGCTTTCAAACAATACAGCACAATAAACAAAAAGTATCTATTAAACATATACAAAAACAATAAAAATGGCTCATGAAACTCAATTGTCAATAGTTCCATTTCAAAGATTATTTCACTTTTTATCAGTATGTATGATGAAGAGAAAAAAATAAGTTTACAAATTTGGTTTTACTAGGTCATATATAATGCGCCACAGACACTTGCACAAAGGTAATTAAATAGATGCACTGAAGCAGCCAAGACCAACATCACATGAAAAGGAACAAAGCTACATAAAGCATACTAAAACATGAAGATGCATGTATGTGTGTGTGTGTGTGCAAATTCATACGATGACTGCTGCCACAACACTAGCAGTGCCATCAACAAAACCCTCATCAGTTGATCACACACACATACACAAAGATACTCAACATTGACAATAAAAAACACAAAACACAATGTAAATAGACATACACTGACACCCAGGTGACTGACACTGACAGTTAAAAGCCTCTGATGAGTTTGTTTTAATCAATTCATCCAAAGCAAGGTGATAATTCCACTAAGACGTAAGAGGCTACTGGGAGTGTAAGGGAATGAAAAAACTTTAGAAGGATCCGAAAACCTAATGCTAAACAGAAAACAAGGTTCACATGTTAGAATATGTATTCTTTATAAGAATTTCAGTTTGTAGATGAGGTTTCATTGATGTATTTTTGTAAAGAGTGTTTTTGTCAAGAGTTAAATGTATTTCTGGTAATATTTATTTTTTTTCTTTTTCAAAATTATATTTCTGGTAATATTTATTTTTTTTCTTTTTCAAAATTATATTTCTGGTAATATTTATTTTTTTTCTTTTTCAAAATTATATTTCTGGTAATATTTATTTTTTTTATTTTTCAAAATTATATTTCTGGTATTTCTGCTATAAAAATCTATTTTTATACTTTCATAGTTGGTACCCTAACAAGGTGCTACCACCCCAGAACCCAAGTTGGAGAAATGCAACAGCAAAGAAAGACACTGTTCAAAGGTGACAAAGCAAACAGAAAACTTCTAAAGTCTATATTAGAAGAGAAGAAAAATGTTGGCTAAAATCAGTAAATGTTTTTTTTGTTTATAATATTTATTAGAGCAAAAATGAAACTAAAGAAAACATCTCAAGAGGACAATGAGCTAGAGTTGAGAGGTCAAAATGTTTATCACCACAAATATTGAAACAAGTTAACTATAGGCAAAGTATATCTTTACCTATAGCTAAGACTGATGTTTAGAATATCAGCCTTACAAGTAATTGCTAGTGAGTGTCATCCGAACTGTATGCTCTTCTTTTGTGACAGACTAAACCAGAATCAGTAAATGAATCTCTGCATATGTGAGAGAGAGATTTTTCCCCTTGAAAATATTGAATTATTGATTACATGTTGTTGATTTTTGCTGTTAATAATTATCACACTTTTGGGGAAAAAAATCTGCATTTTATATATATATACACACACACACACACATATATATATATATATATATATATATATATATATATGTGTGTGTGTGTATGCATGAATAAAAAAAGATAAGCAGAAAAACTATTCCTAGTTAACACATTTCGTTCTCTGAGGGACTTTATCAAGGCAAATGTAGGATTTATTTTGTTGCACATGTTTATATACAAAAGTGAGGATGTCATTGGTTTATCAAGACTTTTGAGTTTGACTGACCATTGAGAATCACTTCAAACAAAATTGAAAATACCAAAGTTCTGTCCTTTTGTCTGTTTACTTTCAATCTCTGAGGAAGCTTTAATAAAAGTGAAACATGTTAGATTGATAAATGTTTCCTATTTATCATTTATCTTATCCTGTCAGATTCGAATCTGCATTTGATCTAACGATTATATATATATATATATATATATATATATATATATATATATATATATATATATATATATATATGTGTGTGTGTGTGTGTATTTGGGCAGCAATCCCTCTTTTACACAAGTTTCACTAAAGACAACTAACAAGATACTGCTATTAAGTGTTTCATTCAATTTTTCTTGTGTTCACATAAGTGAATTCTTTTCTGGACATAAATGTGTAAAAAATATCAAAGCGCTTTTGGCTATTCTATTAGCCATTATCAAGGATTTTTTTTATTTTTTATCTTTAACTGAATGTGTAGATTTTTAGACATATTTCTAGAG